ATGCTTGCTGTGTGTGTAAATTGTAATGTATCTAACAAGCTAAATTATGCTGGCAGATTGTACATCTAAACACACATTTTAACAAGACTTGACCTAATTAATCAATTGTCCAATGCCAAGATAACTCTTAACCCTGCAAGAAAAAATCAATTTCCCTATAGGTCTTCGACGCCGTTAAGGATGTCCCGTTAATTAGTAAAGAGTACCAAACTAGTATAAACACATGATGATCGTAATGACGATGACAACGACTATTAACTCGAAGTGTTTGTGTAGTATGTGTTCCTAGACTATGGAAAAAGAAGTGGAGGCAATGGAAAGGAGGAGCTCCCTTCAGTCCAAGCGCAGAGAAAGAGGGATGTAAAATATCTCCCGCTTCATTCACACAATCACAGTAGCAAATTGTTTGATGGGTTTTTTTTTCTCACTCCTTTCGAATTTCTCTACTGAGTGCTTGAGTGAATGAGTCGGCAGCTACTTCAACAACCCTTAAAATCTTATCCATGAGTGGACTGAAGAAAGCTCTCTCTCCCCATTTCTTCAATTCTCTCATCACCCGTTTCTTTTCTGACATGCATTACCAATAAAGCAAATCCCACCATGCAAATTAATCAATATTCCTGCTGAGACTACTTGAGTTGCTTTCTGACATTCATATAGAAGCCAATAAATTAAGCTCAAGTAATTAAAAACCCACCACCATGCAACTGCACTTTGTACTGGACACCACTTTCTCACTCTAGCGCTCAAATCAATGAAGGCAACATCTGCACACATCACAGACAAAACAGGCAATTATTTTTCTTCAGTTTTTCATATTGGAGAAGCTAATTATGCAACAAACTAGTTCAGTATATTGAGAGCTTTTGCCATTTAGAAATACCCAAAACCAAACAGTAGCTAATTCAGAGCAACCATATATATAATCCTTTCCATTCTTCAAAGAAAAAGTTATTAGAATGCTAATTTTTTCTCATTCCCAAATTAGTCACCCTAATCATCTCTAATCACAAGTTTTTTCATGCACTGAGCAGAAATTATCAAACAAAGACAAACTTATAAGAGATTTTTCACCTTATGGTTGATCTCATGAATCCCAGAAAGCTAAAATGAAAAATAAACAACAAAATTTCCACTTCATGAAATCTAGCTAGTATATATACTAAATGATTAAAACCCAATTTTCATCATGAACATCTTCATCAGCAATTAGTTACAGTTGAAAAAGAAAAGAAAAAGCAAATAGACAATAGACAATATATGCAGAAGAAATAACAACAAAATTTGGTTGTTCGAGGAGGCCATAAGAAGTGAATATTCAGCAAACTAAAACATAAAGATCATATAAATAAATATATCATAGAAATAAAGCCCACTTTATTTCTGCTTCAGGCTAAACCAATTAAAACTTCAAAAAAGGACCAAAGTACTGGAGCTAGCAGTGAGAGTAAAAACCCAAAGGGCCAAGGCATAATAATACAAGAAAAACTAGAGAGAGAGAGAGTACCATAGAGGAAAAGAAAGAAACCATTTACTTACTTGTTCTGAAACTTCCAAGCAGTACACATCCGCAGATTATAGGATCCAAACATTGTCTACACATATAAATGAAAGAGACCATTAAATACACATAACCCTAAAATCTAAGTAATTAGAGGCGCTGTTCAAAACCCTAATCCATATTCTTGTGGCAGGTAAAGAAGAAAAGGAGTTGCGCAGAGGGAGAGAGAAAGAGAGTTTCTTTTGCAGAGGGAAATTAAGGGTCATTGTCCCCATGACCATATGGGAGTCAGACACAGGAAAGCGACTCAAGATCTCAGCAAATCTAAGGCAGCAGAGAGAGAGAGAGAGATGGGGGGTTCACTTTTATGCTTTCTTTCAGGAGATTTTTTCTATAAGATAAATGAAGATAAACAAGACATGTGAGAGACAATTAAGGAAGGAGCCTCTCTCTCTCTCTCTCTCTCTCTCTCTCTCTCTCTCTCTCTCTCAAACACACACACAAGCAGAAACAATAACAAAAGGCCCGGTGCTTCACTTTCACACTCTGGCTGACCAGCAGAGGGGAGAGGAATATAAATAGACATGTCCTCATGGGAGAGTGCACCAATGCTACATTGTGCTATGATGATATACAAGAAAATTAAAATAAGAAACAGTTCTTATCATGATATGCAATGCAACACCAATAATTACACCATAAATCTTTATCATATTTGCTTATCACATTTCCCCTCAAAAAATAATAAGTTGTCTATTAATAAGTTAATTCTAGGATTCCATTCATAATTCAGTCCTAGATTGAATGAAAGAATGTTGCTTTTATTTTTTGTTTTGTTACCCAAAAAAAACACATTATTAAATAATTGGATTTAAATATCAATCAATCATGTGTTAGCTTAGCTGTACCTGTATGTAAGTTTAGGTTAAGCATGTATATACGTAGTATTTAATGGATACACTTTGTTTTTGAGGAGAGATTATGAAATGTGGACAACCGACAACCCACGTCTCTCACCTGTTTCTTTCTAATCTACTGTCTGTACTCTCGCCTGTTTCTTTTCTTGTCTGTGTTTCTTTTTTCTTTTTTTTTGGGGAATTCACTGTAGCTAGTAGTAGCTACCTGTTGGTTAATTTTTAGTTCTGTAAAGTCTCTGCAAAGCAATGAAGGCAAATTGTACTTAGTGTCTAAACACCATATAGAAACATAATATTAGGTCGTATGAAGGAGAAAAACATAATATGGGGGGTTGGTATGGAATAATATTGTAGGCACACAACCACACACTCATGTCCTTTTTATTATTTTCAATGAGACAGCTTTGGCAATTGGCACACATTATGTAGTTTCAGTTTGGAGACATGTTATCATTGTAAATAATAATAAAAACAATGAGAGAGATAAGCATATAGTTGTATATAATTAGTTTGTACGAAGAAAAAAAAAACATAGATCAGCTCGGGTGCCTTATATGTGTGCACCTAAAAAAAACATGTTACAAATAGTACAGTGACCCTAATGCATTGAGTGGAAACCAGCCGGGCATCTGTGCATTTCTTGTTTTGTTTTGGTTTTGATCTGAAGGTAGCTAGCTAGTCTTATTTGCCATCATCATATGTATAAGATGTCTGAGAGAGAGAGAGAGAGACAGCCTCTGAGAGACTGGCTGGCTGGCAATGGCACCAAATCTAGCTACCATTGCTCACTCGGAAAGTGCGCAAGAATCAAATCGATTGCCGAAGGACACTCACTCACTCAGTCCTGCTGCATTATCTCAATCTCAATGTGATTTTCGTGGCATGGCCATGGCCAGCCAAAAGAAAAGAAAAAGGCCAACCAAATAAAATAAACGAAGGGAAGAGGAAATTATAAGAGTCAACGCCTCAGCAAAAAAAAAAATTTGCATGATGCAGAGTATAAATCAAGGGGTTTTGCTAAATTGTGGTCCCAAAAGACGAGTGGAGTTGAATTTGGGTCTGTTGTTGAGTGGCATGAGGAAAAAATGATGGGGGAGGAGGAGACTAAAATATTATTCACCAAAAGTGAGAATGGATGAGCTGTTTTTTTTCCATTATTTTTTAGCACTAACAAGACATGAAGATTGCAGGGACGACGAGTGGTTTGGATTTCTACAGCCGTTTGCTATGGGAAGCAGGAGCAGCAGAAGCAGCAGCCAGACTCTATATACATGTCACTGGACCACCAACAATTCTGATCCTGATTACATTCATATCATTCAGGAAAAACCTTGTAAAGTTCATTGACTTTAAAACAAAAAACTAATGGACCACACACACTAAGGCTTTTTTTTATTTATAAAATCATTATTTATTGTTTGAATTTCATGGCATGCGACACGTCATGCACAGTAAGTCTCTCTTGTGCATTCAGTTGACTTTCATCCTTGCCAAAAGACCCTGCCGGATCAAATAGGAATCCTGAGCTCATGGACTCTGTTCATGGAAGGGAAGAGTTTGGAGCACAAATGGAACCAAAGAGGAGGGAGATCCCTACGTACGTACCGCAAGCTAGGCTACATAATGTTGTACAGAGAGACTAATAAGGGGTTATAACAAGAAGTCCTTAACAGCCATCCGATTAATTGCGAAACTATTATTGGATAGCTGGATTGAATCCCTTAAAACCGACCGAATCTTAGGAACCAAAAAAATGATGATTATCAAAGGCTGTAAATCGAAGTCTGTTGAACACTAAATGCTAAACAGTAGTTTGCAAGGACCGCGACCCAGCAGAAAGCATTAACCCAAATTAACATTCAACTTTCAACCAAGTCATAATTCTAATTACAGCACTTACAAATCCGACAAAGCAGTCATTTTGTCTTCTTCCTCAAGTGTGAGTAGGCCCTAAACCCTTCCATTTTCTTTTAAGGGATAATCAATAAAACAAAATCCCTCATATTTAAAGCAGCCACTTCGGCTAAAAGAGATGCATGAAAAGATATTCCAATTTATTAGTGGAGAGAGAGAGAGAGAGAGAGAGAGAGAGAGGTGGGTTGCATTGCATCTATACAAAGGAGATAACATATCAAGCAGGAGGAGATATGGAGTTTAGTAATCATGTCATCTATTATGTCATCCATTGAGAGCTCATGGATGACCTCAGGATTGCAACACATTACCTGGAGGCAACCTAATCATGATACAATGCTCTATCAGAATACATTCATTTGCCTATTAACAAAACACAAAACGGGGACTGTTTCAAGAATGCTGCTCTGCTTGCTCATATTATCTAGGCTCTCCAATCGGTGAATTCCGAATTTTAGAAAAACTGGAAAAATAAACTTGTTGATCCGTCCCCAAATGTTCGCAGATCCGCAGGTTTTACCAGTGCCCTGCATAAAGGGCAAGTTCTTTCTCTCTCAAACCTGAAAAGGTAAAGTAGTTGTCAGTTGGTCGACATATTAAAAGATAAATATAAGCTCTACATTGTGAAATAGTTGAACAAAAATGTAGAAATCTAGTAAGATTCTGGTTCAATTAAGCAGCATGAAATCCACAATAGTGGCAAGCAGTTGATCTAGCACCAATGCTTCTGGCCAATACATGGGGATACAGATAGTTGGACCAAAGCAAAACTTGCCAGAGGCAAGATTTTGTTCAAGGGCGGTGGCCTTTTCTAAGAGAGTTAAAGGTTTCACAAGCAAAGAATGAGAGACATACTAGAAATCACATTTCGTCCTTGTAAAGAACAGGTTTCCAATATTTCTAATATAATATCATGATCATTGATCTACAACTCAGTGAGAAACATAAGGTAACAAACTAACCATTCTGAGACACAATCCTCACAGAAAATGTGTTTACAGCGCAGCAGAATCGGAGCATGCATCTTCTCCTGGCAAATGGCACAAAGGTCCCCTGCTGCATTTACCTGAAGCAAAATACTTGTGAGCTGGAATGCATAGATAACTACTTATGCGGAAAAACAACAATTGTATTCACTATTCACTATGTAACACTAAACATGCTTTAATGCAGACACAAACATATTTTAAATGAAATAGAAAGTATAAAGTTTGGAAGGTTACGTAGCTAACTAGCTTCTAATTTGTTGAAAGGACAAGAAAAACCAAGTTTAATAGGTTAAAGATAAATACAGGATGGGTGGGTACATATAGCCTTCTTTAACTTAGGTAATAAAGAACGTAACACAAATAGCAAGAAAATGATCTCAACGTTGTTGATCTAGCTTCCAGAACCCAAAGTAAATCAAATCATTTAGTTAGATTTCATACCTGTTCCAATGTTGCATACGCCCCATAATGGATATCCTTCCGCGATAATGCCCTTATTGAAGCAAAAAAGGATTGGACCTAAAATGCAATAAAATATAAATATAACATATAAACCCAATTCAAGTGCCATGAAGTATATCATCATGTTCTAGTACAACAGCTTACTACTTAATAGACTTACCTTCTCAACGACAGATGTTAGCTTAAAAGTTAAATACAATCCTGTAGTAAGTGACGAGAAGAGGCTCCCATTATCTTTGTTCAGGAAGAATCTGTACCAAACAGGTGCTGGTAACAAGGCACGGTACAGCAGCAGTGTATACTCAACCACAGTTAATATTTGACCCTTCAAAATGAGATAACAACTTTCAGCGAGTTTTTCCAAATTATGAGATAGTTGAAGATAAAATGCTTATGGAAATTTCTAATGCTCAGCATCATGTCACCTGCCGACGATAATTATGGCCTCTGCCATTCTTGTAGTATATAAGCAACAAACACTTGAGAGCCATCGTTGCCTGCCTCACCATGGTATCTGAATGTAATAAAATTCAGAAAGAAAAAAAAACTCTCCAACATATTCAAAGAAAGATAAGTACGGCACAATAAGAGAAGTGACATAGGAAATAAACAGGCAACATTACAGGGACAAACAGAGGACAGAAGCATTATATAGAACCCGAAACAGAGACAACCCCACATTAACTGATAGCTCCAAGTAGGCACAAAAAAGAAGAGGGACAACATGAAATATTGAATAAAGTCTAAGACAGTCCGACAGACTTATGAACTTTAAATTTAGGATTTCAATGCAAAACTTAAAACCCTATTGAATTCTATCTCCAACATTCATAACAGATCCTTCTCTGATGGATACAAAAGATGAACGACCTACTCTACACTTAATAAATTAGTATATCAGTTGTCTTCACAAAGAAATTTTAACAATAAAGACTGTCTCCATACCATTGACCAAAATGATGAATATCGCATGCCAGAAAGGTGGTATGGCTTTCGGAGGAAGCATTGCCAATGGGTATAAAAGATCATCACTTCGATACCACCAGTAAACACCAACTACATGAAGCATAAAAGCAGCAGCAATACTTAGAAGAACTGGAATTTTCCTATCTCCCTGCAGAAACCAATAATTGTTTGAGATATTTGATCTGCTATTCAACAGATTTTGCAGTGGGGGAACAAATGGATAATATAATCTCATATAATCAAAGATGTATCAAATTACCTTTAGAGCTGTTTGCTTCCGAACAACATCATTTGACCTATACATGACAGCTGATACCCATATAGTGACAAAGAAACCTGCAAGTTATCACCCCAAAAAGTAAATGAATAAACAGCACTGCAGTGATAAAAAAAAAATGCAAGACAAACACATTAAAACCATTTAGTTCTTCTCCATTCATTTACATAGATATTGCCATTTGACATTTATGAGAAAGGATATTTTTTTAGAATTGGATAAGCTTAAGATTAAGACTGAAACTAATAAACATGTGCCTGGTGGAAGAAAACTTGTCCTCAAGATTTTAAGTATTAGCTCAGATGTTACAGCCTATCACATTGGCATCTCTATGATAGTTGATTGATAATATGCATAAGATACTGATTTCTGCATAATTCGAGTTTGTATTTTATGTCACAATTATTAGAATGGGTAACATCAACTGTTAATGTTACCAAAGAATATGGATGTGACTCAACTCAAAATGGCCAAGAAAACCCCAGCTCCATCTAAATTGTAAAACCAAGATCAGTACATGTCTAAAATACTCTCTCCAAATAAAACAGTCCCTCTAAAATAACACAAACAAAATAGGAAACACTCATGCCCCTGCAGATTCAAACTTACAAAGCAAAGGCTAAGTTTTGGGCTTCATATTAGTTGATTCAAACTTACACGAATGATCATAGAGACAATCTGCACTTAAAATTTGAAGTAAGTGGTGGGTGTGAGTACCTTGCAAATGCTGACGAATGAACACAACGAGTAAGAGCAGCGAAAACGGAAGAACCTGCTCAATCCATCTGGCTATCTGTTGAATATCATATCTCTGATAAGCAGAATCCCTAGAATTATTATCCACACCATCCCCAGTGTCCCCAACGTCACGCCCATGTTCTGGAGAAGACGGAGGCACCAAGGGGACTCTCTCGCCTGACCCAACCCCACTGGCTGTACCCGCCAGATTATCCAACGATTGAACCCTACCGCTATGCCCTAGCGATCCACCATTTCCGTCCCCATGAAACGGGACAGTTGCGGCACCGTTACCGCGGTCTTCCTGTTCACCGGCGCCGATAATGCGAATTGAAACCTCTCCGGTATTGCTAGAGCCGGAGGTGCAGGCCGAAGGGGAATGGGGGCGAGAATCGGCAACGACTACGGCGTTGACCACCGGAGCGTCAGCTTCGTGGCGGGAAGAGCTCGGAGAAAGTATACCGGAGTAATCTAATACGAAGGAGAGCGGAGACTGGAAGAAACGGAGGGCAGGGAATTGCATAGACCCAAACGACGTCGTGCTGTTGCTATTATTCCCAGTGTTGCCTCCACTGGTTGGACTAGTATTTCCGGGCGATGCTTCCATGAAAATCGAAAACCCTAATTCTTCAAGTTTCAGCCCCAAAGCAAGAATCAGAGATTAAGTAAAGAAAAGAACCGACCTTGATGGCTTTGTGTCGACGACGAATTCAGAGAAGGAGAGGATCGGAGAGAGACGGCAGACCGTTGAAGAAGAAAAAGTCAAAAAACGACAGACTTGTTGTTGTTGTTTTACTGAGCTAAATTCTAAGCTCTGAACCCGAATATCGGGATCGCCTTCTTTTTCTTCTAGACTAGTAAGAAGCATGAACGATAAGCTACGCGTCGTCGTTCTTTGGCCCTTTTTCTTTTTCTTTTTTCTTTTTTTGTTAAAATTTTATTTTGCTTCATCATTGGCTGTTAGCCGTAACGTGTTGACTTTGTATTTGTTGCAGGAACGCTTTAATTTATTATTTCCTTTTTCCTTTAATTGCGTTCCGCGTGTGCCGTTTCCATTTTCTTTTTTTTCTTTTTTTAAATTTTATGAAATTGATATTGGCAAAGGAAGATATTGGAAAAATGAGAATTCAAACACAAAACCTCGGTTATTAGTATCCGTGTAGTGTATATTATTATATTATCTACTCTCTCAATAAAAAAGATCTTTTTATAAAAATAAAAACAAAGCAAGCCTCGATACATGAATAACTACTCTAAGTGCCAGTTTGGCATTGCTTATTTTGGGTGATAAGTGATTTTTAAAAAAATTTGAGATGCCCAACCCGTTTGGTAAACTGTAAGAAAATCAGTTATTGTTAAAAATTATTGTGAGAGAAAGCTATAAGGGAAAGCAACTAATGAGGTGCTTTCATTTTCTGATTATGCAGGAATCAGTTTCGAAGAGGCGCTGGGTTTAATGATTATGCTGCAATCATTTTTTGATTATGCGTAAAATCAATATCAACAACACTTTTAACAAAAATTTTACCAAATGCCAAACTGCTTTATCTCACAATTGATTTTTCTTACAGCAAATCTGACAACGATTATTTTCACAGCACAGCAATGCCAAACTGACCCTAAGCCTTGTCTATTTGTTTGTATGCTTTTATTTAGTAAGGGTCATTTTCTCTCTCTCTCTCTCTCTCTCTCTCTCTCTCTCTCTCTCTCTCTCTCTCTCTCTCTCTCTCTATATATATATATATATAAAAGAAGTAAATCATAACCTAACCCACTACAGCTTGGTCTGTGTGTTTGTATGCTTTTATTTAATAAGGGTCATTTTCTATATGTACACAAAAGAAGAAAAATCATAATTTGATATAATATCGGAATTATGATTTACTTGTAAGAGAAGAAAAGGCTCTTCATTATGCACGAGGACCAACCCATTGAAATTGCTTTAATTAAGTTGGCTTGGGTGGCATCTCATGTGGTCGGTTGTCCAAAATCAACAAAAATTAAAGGCAATGCACATCACACGAACTGTATTAGTTGCATTATCTTTTATCTACGCCAAGCACATGGGACATATGTTACAAACATTCCTGGCCCAACCAACAAGCAACAATTACAGAAGGCTTTGTCTCTCTTAAACAATATCCTGCAAACCCATTGGAAGGAAAAACAGAAACCAAGAAGGCACAAACGGCAATATGTTAAAGCCATCAAATTAGCCTCTCCAGTTGTCCTTCCTCTGCCTTATTTCACGCAGAGCTTCAACTGCAGTTTTGCAACCAACCCTCTCCTGTAAAACAAGTTAAACGTCTACGTAAGTAAGCTGTACGTATCTATGGCGCAAGTTGGCGATTGAAAGTGAGCATGCTGCAGTTGGTCATGCTAGAGTTGGCAAAACCGAAAGTGAGCAATACCATGCCAACTTCTTAATCATTTCAAGCTTCAAATTTAGTAACAAACTGTGCTACATCAGTTTCCAAATATTCACTCAGGGGCGGCCCTGGGGTAGTGCAAGTGGTGCCACTGCACAGGACCCTTGATTCTTAAGGGCCGCTGAAAAAAAAATTCTTTATATTATATATATATATATAATATTAGAGGAATTGTATATATAGTATAGTGTGGAGTGTATTGCACAACAGCGTGTCTGGGGGAATTGGCTGGAGCGCTTACTCATTTAACAACAGGACCAAAGATCTGGGGGAGTTGGCTGGAGCGCTTACTCATTTAACAATAGGACCAAAGATCGACTCACGTTGAGGTTGATCTATATGCGTTTTTTTATATTATTTTTGCAATCAAACTTTACATAATTATAATAAAATAAAATAAAAACAAAAAGCCTTTAAAAAACAAGAAACTTCGAAGCTTAACACAAGGCAGGAGGAGTATATATATCCCCAAACTATCGTTCTTAAAAAAATTTGTAAAAAAGTTTTCTTCTCCAAGAAAAGTACTTTCTTCATTCAAAACAAAACTTTGTGGCTTCTTCTTTCTCTTAAACTCTGATTTTTTGGTAAGTAATCATCATCATTCATCAATCTCTCTTTGTTCTTTTTTCAATCATTTGACAATTTTTGTTATTCTTTCAATTTTTCAGGAATTTCAACACCAAAAAGAGAAATTCCTAATTCCTAAATTCATAAAGACCACTCAAAATCAAATAGTCATATTCAAATCTCAATTCAAATTTAGGTATGTATCTAAATTTCAATCTATTCTATATATTAAATGACCTATTTTATTAAATTATTATCATGTTGATGATTGGTTATATGAGAATATAGCTTGTACAAATATTTATCTATTTCTTACTCGGGTTTTCTTCCAGGTTATTGGGTTTTGTAATTTTTCTTTGTAATCTAAACTTGTCACCTACTAGAAAATACGTTTATGGATATACAAAATCGCTTAGAAAAAGAAAATTCGAGGAATTGACTCAATCTCAAAGAGGAGCTCTTGATAGATTCATTGTTAAAGAATCACATGCTACAATTGATGAAAATATTTTTAGTGTACAACAACGAGAAGATCAATTTTCAAACATTAGTATTGTACTGGTTGTGTTTTTTTTTCTTTTGGGGAAAAAGCTCTCGTAATAGTTTTAATTTTTTAAATAAGGACAGCAAATACAATGTGAATGATTTTTGGATATTTAGGTATGTTTTTGTTGTTGCTTTTGTGTTTAATGCAATATAATCTAATTTGTTAATGACATTTGTGTGCAACTATTCTTTAATTTGTGATTGCCAAATTTTTTCCTATTAAACACATATTGCTTCTTGGAGGCAGCAAGGGACCTTATAGGGGCACAATGAGCTTATTTTTGTACCAAACATTTAACTTTATCAAACGGAAACATTTAAATTTTTATGAATTTGATTTTTGATTGTCATTACATATTTATTGATGGTGACTTTTGTTATAAAAAAATTATTTATGACATTAAGTTATGGCAAATTTGTATAGTATTTTCGTATTAGATTATGCGAGACCCCAATTTAAGTTTCGCACAGTGCCCTCAAAATCTCAGGGACGGCCCTGTATTCACTTGCTACTTTTATCTCAATTGAAAGTTGTATTGACAGAATCATTGACGAGAGTACCAAAGAAGCTGCAGCTGTGGATCCAGTTGAGCCTGAAAAGGTTCTTAAAACAGCTCAAGAACATGGCGTTGATATCAAGCTCGTCCTCACCACTCACCGCCACTGGTGTGTAAATGTTTCCAGTTCTTCATCAAATTTACCATTCAATCACTTATATTCGTACCCATGTGCTTTATTTCTGCATACCCATTACTCGTATTCAAGAGTAACATAACATGTCACCACAAAATTATTATATGTATTATATTTGTTTTGGATATAAGTGCCAACAAATAGGTATTTGGGGTTCATATCTTACTTGGGTAATAATCTGACATGCCAAGATTGTATTGAGCATCTTAGTTTGGGTAAATGTAAAGATTAGACCTGTCAGATTATTACCCAAGTAAGATATGAACCCCAAGTACCTATTTGTTGGCACTTATATCCAAAACAAATATAATACATATAATAATTTTGCAGTGACATGTTATGTTGCAGTTGAATATGAGTAATGGGTATGCAGAAATAAAGCACACGGGTGTGAATATAAGTGATTGAATGGTAAATTTGATGAAAACGTGCAAACATTTACACACCAGTGGTGGTGAGTGGTGAGGACGAGCTTGATATCAACGCCATGTTCTTGAGCTGCTTTAAGAACCTTTTCAGGCTCAACTGGATCCACAGCTGCAGCTTCTTTGGTACTCTCGTCAATGATTCTGTTAATCCAAACCCAGCAAGCCATAATCACCATTAACAATTACAATTTTACAATTAAATTAATTATGCTAGAAAGTAGAAAGACCCTGATAAAAACGATAATCAGAAATTGAGATGAAAAGAGGGATTTTGGCTCACAGGTATGCGTAGTTGTCCTCTAAGCAAGCAACGTGGTGGATTTTCATCTCCGTTGTTTGATGGTCTCTTTCTTCTGGAAACCTCTGGCTTCTGATTGAACAGTCCACAGAGAGCAGTGAGGAAATGCAAATACCGTAAAATGGTTTGATTTCGCCACGTCTGATTTAGTTGACACGTGTCGCAAAGCCAAGCCAGCCAGCACGCCTGATGAGTAGACAGCCCGACGTCAAAAAAAAAAAAGTTGAACCTGGGTCGACCCGAACTGAAATGTATGGAGCACCGAGTACAAAAAGCCCGCAATAGGGTTTCTGGCGTGGGTTTCTTCCCGGAAGCGCAAACAGGAGGAGGAGAATCAGGAGCTCGCCATGGGGAGGAGTGAGTGCCTCTCTCTTGCATTCATCTTATTTTTCCCTCATTTATTTCTTCGTTCTTCGCCCATTGATGTATTATACATGTATCTATCTAATTTTTTGTTTAAAGATCTGATTGCGTTTACCGTTTTATTGGCGCGAGATGAATTTCGTTGTCAAAAGAATCGTTTCTGTGTTTTTTATCCAAGCTATTTTTGATACAGAAATGGGATTTGCTTGTATGTTATCGGTTTATTTTCTAACGTTGGTATTGGAATTTAAACGTTGAGGACATCTTAACCGTTGCACAAATGTAATTTCTAAGACCCAATTGTTTTTGTGAGTTGTTTATTTTGGAACCTTTTTTTTGCCCAAGCCAATTGTTGTGGCAATCTTAGCAAATGTCGTTGTCAATGTTGTATAAGTTTGATATATATTTTATTCAGATTCTAAATTCAATTGTTGAATTTGGCAAAGTGAATTCATTATTGTCTGTAAGTTTGATATAATCATGTTTTATGATGATTTTTTGGATGCTCTGTTATTGTTGTAGGGCCTGCAAGGTGTTATGGGCAGATTAAGCACAAGCCATACCCGAAGTCACGTTTCTGTCGCGGTGTGCCTGATCCTAAGATCAGAATTTATGATGTTGGAATGAAGAAGAAAGGTGTTGATGAGTTTCCCTTCTGCGTCCATCTTGTGAGTTGGGAAAAAGAGAATGTTTCAAGTGAGGCACTTGAGGCAGCTAGGATTGCTTTTGCAACAAATACACGACCAAATTTGCTGGGAAGGATACGTTCCATTTGAGGGTGAGGGTGAGGGTGCATCCATTCCATGTTCTGCGCATTAACAAGATGCTTTCATGTGCTGGGGCTGATAGGCTCCAAACTGGAATGAGGAGTGCATTTGGCAAGCCATTAGGAACTTGTGCACGAGTTGCGATTGGACAGGTCCTCCTTTCTGTTCGCTGCAAGGATAGCAACAGCCATCATGCACAGGAAGCCCTCCGCCGTGCAAAGTTCAAGTTTCCTGGTCGACAAAAGATTATTGTTAGCAGGAAGTGGTATGTTTTTGCTATCCCTCCCCCATCTCTCCCATTACAAAGACAAGCATTGATGTTTTGTTTATTTTTGAATGTGCTATATGCTTTCAATTTTATTATTTGTTTATTGGAAAACATTGATTAATATATACTTGTCGCAAGTTATTGTGTGCTGGAAATGAAAGAAGGAAAGAGTTTTTAATTGTGTGATGTAAAATAGTTCATGCTGGCACAAGTTTGTATATAGTCTTCTTTTGCCATTTTGAAAAGGTTGAACCCTCAAGTAATGATTTAAAGTTTGGAGAGTTGGAATTAGTTATTAGGGACATTGGTTACAAAAGAATATTTCAGTTTTCCTGACCTTTGCTTCTTTTTATTGTAATATTTGTCTTTCACTCAGGGGATTCACCAAGTTCAGCCGTGCTGATTATGTGAAGTACAAGAAGGAGAACAGAATCCAGCCCGATGGTGTTAATGCTAAGGTGATACTTGAGCTGTATGCAAATAGACGATAGAATAAGAGCCTCTTTACACATCAATCATGTTTCTTCCTGATTGCTTTTTTTTTCATTATATCCACCATTCTATTATTCGTTATGCAAACAAGTAAAAAATAGAATTGTGGGATGTTTATTTCTCCTTCTGATCAGCATAATCTGGCTTTGGATGTGGGATTATGATTAGCCCTGGTAACTAATGGTTTTTATATATGATCATGCAGCTTTTGGGATGGTTCTTTGGCTAACCGGAAACCTGGAAAAGCTTTCCTGTCTGCACCTTTATCGGCTTGAAAAATGATGCTGCTTTTGTCATAGTATTTATGTAGAACTCGTGTGCACTCTCTATTTTTTTCGTGTTCGTCTATTTTCAGAACAAACTTATACTGAGGTGACGGGTCGGTTATTATGAGTTGTGAAGGCGGGTTTAGATTTATATGCTCTGCAGTATTATTTCTTTGGATGGTTGGTTGTGCAGTTTTTCTGAGGCACTTTGTTATAAAGATGTTGCTAATAAGCTCTTCACTGCCCTTGGTCTTCTTCTAACTTTTATCCATTCAAATACAAAATCTTCTTTGCGCTGTTCCTCACTGGGGTGATAAAAGAATACTTCTCAAGTTAACTCTGTCTGAAACCAAACCCCAAAAGGCCTCAAACTTCGGATTAAAAAACGCATTCCAGGATGTTTGGTTCACTATTGGGTTTTTCTGTGCCAAAATGGACCCATGAATGTAGCTCACATAAAGAGCCCATTTGCTTCTCACATTGGTTGCCTAAGGCTTGACCAAACTCCCATTTGAGCGTTGACCAAAAAAGTAAAACAAAAGCCTCAATCTTTTTATTTTTCAGCCAAAAAAGCCTCACACTTAGCAAAGTCATTTTTGCAAGGTTTTCATTTTCCGTTGTAAACAACGGTTTGTTTATTGACTAGAATCAGTCAGGTGAAGGAAGGGAGTAAACCCAAAGGTCCTCTGGTTCAGAACAGAAAGAATCCATGGCGGTTTACCAAAAACGACCGCGTGCTTATGAGTTTTGAGTGAAGAGAGCAAAGAAAATTACTCTTATACTTTAATGGTGGGAAATGTGGGCAGGTGAGAGAGAGCTTTGATTTTGGTTATTGATCCGAGTAAAGTTTGTGCATTTGGTGAAAGCTGGTTCATTTCAAAATCCGAAATCAAATCCCTAAAACAAAATTCAATGTCAAAACCCTCGTCTCGAATCATCCAAGGTCTGCTCAGATTTCACCACAATCAAATCTCAAAACCCTCGTCCCCACTCACCGGCTCCAGGAGGACCTACCACTCCAACAATGGGCCTCTTCCCCAATTCCCCTCTCACCCAAAACCAATCGGCGGCGGCGGTGGCAGCTCCTCCGGGCCGGGGCTGGGCCTAGGCCTTGGCCTGAGGTTCTTCTCCTTCAAGCCACCGAATTTCAGCAAAGTCAATGCGAAGAAGGTGTTCGATAAGCCGCTCTCCGCCGCCGCCTCGGCTTTCTCGCGTTACCAGGAGGCCCTAGGGTTGCAGATTGAGGCGTTCTGGAAGAGGAACAATCTGGTGCTGTTGGGCGCTGGAGCACTGGTGGTGTGTGCTTTGCTATGGAGGGTCATGTTTGGGATTGCTAGCACCTTCGTTGGACTCTCTGAAGGGATGGCCAAGTATGGCTTTCTCGCCCTTTCTTCTGCCATTGTCGCCTTCGCTGTAAGTTACTCGAAATATCGTGCAATAACGTAGAGCAGCTGAAAACGTACATTGTGCTTTGTCAATAGTGATTTGCAACTATAGTCCTACAAGCTCTAGTGGTAGATTTAAAATGAATGCCCAACTTATTTAATCAGTTATAATGTTATAGTAGGCTTATAGGTGGCTCAATGCAGTGACTGAGTGACACCTTCAGTGGGTTCATTTGTTATTATTGTTGGAGTCTATTTATGATCACAAGTTGAAGTCTTCTTCTGTAGGATGGTAGGAACTAGGAACTCAAAGCTTGATATTTTCTTATCCAGTACATATGGATTTCCTGTTGTTTGGAAATCTTGGTTTACATTATAGATCAGCATTTGACATTTATGTGCTTTTTCACTACTCTTAGGGCCTTCATATCCGCTCAAGATTCACAATCAATCCTGATAAAGTTTATAGAATTGCCATGAGGAGGCTTAACACTTCAGCTGGTATTCTTGAGGTTATGGGTGCCCCTCTCTCAGGATCAGACCTAAGAGCCTATGTCATGTCTGGAGGTGGGGTTACACTAAAGAAGTTCAAGCCAACTTTTAGGAGCAAGCGGTGTTTCCTCATTTTCCCAGTACGAGGTTCTGAGAGAAAGGGTCTGGTCAGTGTCGAAGTAAAGAAGAAAAAAGGCCAGGTTTGTGTTTGTGCTATGCTGTTTGCTTCTAAGTTTTTCTCTTCATAAGCATTAGTTTTCATTTCAATGTTCTTCGTTGATCCCCTCTTGTGGCATCAAATGGAAGTTGAAACTAAACTAGTTTCATGCCCCGGTTGATAGTGTAGAGAAATTTACATCACAAGAATGTTGTATTGGTAAACGTATACTGCAGTGTTTGTATCTGCCACTGTGATTCTTCTGGTAAAAGTTTCCTCCACAGCGTGTGTGCCTCTCAAGCGAAGCAGATTGAGTGCATGCTCTGCCCCATATTGATGCTTTACATTAGTCAGTTAGTAGATGGACTGTTGAAAACCTGTATATTGTTTATTTTATGACTTGGGGGTTACTTGGATGGTCAAGTTTTTCTTATTGTAGCATTTGGGTGCCATCTTCTTATGCAGTATGATATGAAGCTACTGGCAGTTGACATTCCAATGGCGTCAGGGCCTGACCAGCGCTTATTTCTGATTGGTGATGAAGAAGAGTACAAAGTTGGTGGTGGACTGATAGCTGAGCTGAGAGATCCGGTTGTGAAAGCAATGGCTGCAACCAAGGAGTTTGATAGTCTTGATCAGATTGAAGAAGAGGAGGATGCTGAAAGAGAACTTCAGGAGGCAGAAAGAAAGCACCGCGAAGAAATTGAGAAGCTTGAAAAGGATGGATCACAGTGATTGTTTTCTTTAGATTTTGTTCCTGCCCCTTCGATTCTCTTCTGTTTTGTTTTGATACAGGAGTTTGTAAATAATGCGCAAGTCTTTGGCCATCATCTCAGATTGTTGGTGTAGGTTACCTTGCATTGTTTTGCAGAGTTGAGTTTTACAGGTTTAAATTACCTTGTGCCTCAAGCAGCCAACTTTGGAAATTTCAAAGTTAAGATGGCCCCACGGGGGCAAATAAAAGTAAATTACAGACTAACTGCTGAAGCAAAAGCATGGCATGATTCCTAGTCTTTCTGATTTATAATGTTCATCCTGTTTACAAACTACCTATTTCTGTGAAGCGATATTACTATTTTTCTTCTTTGGGACATCAAATTGTCCATAGTACGATGTTACCAGCAATTCCTGAAGCATGCTTACCTTACAATTTTTCTTCTAATGGAGGCTGTTCTTGGGTATTATAGCAACTGTGCCTCTGTAGTGTTTTAATGACACTTTTAAGATGCGATTTGAGGATAAAGGCCCTGTGCTTCCATTTGAGGCTGGTGTTTTAATGGCTCTTTAATTTTACGTTTATAAGGTGGCTCTTCATCATTATAGGTTAGCAACCCTGCTTCTGTCCTTAAGTCTCCTACTGATGATCTTTAAACTTACTCCATGAAGCTGCAAAGACTAGTATGAGATGTTGTTTAACTAGGGTTCTGTTTAACCCAGGTTCTAAAGTCGCACAAACGAGTCAATCAGATTGCAGCATTGTCTCATCTCAATCAGTTTTGACGATTCATGCGAGTCTTCATCTCCCATCAACATTGGAGATTTCTGATGATAATTCAAATGGTGCCCATGAGACAATACATGCCAACAGCCAACTACCATAATAAGGATAGTCTTCCCAGTGACATCAATGTCAGTTTCAAATGGGTTGCCCGGGACTCGAACCGGGAATCCTGGTTTGTCATTTATATCCATATTTCCTATCAGAAAAACAAAAGGTTCAGAAATTACACTTTATCAAGGATACCCATACCCTACCATGTGACTTGTGAGTTGAAGAATTTTCTTTAGGTATGACCTAACCTAACCTAACCTAACATAACATAATTATAGTTCTGATGTTGGGTTTGAAGTCAAAACAAGAGATGATAATGCATAACAACATTTTGATATGTGAATTCAATTCATCATTAGCAGGTAAAAAAAACAAAAAACATCAGAGGCAGCACAAAGACATGAAAGCATTTTGCTCTCTACCGCATGCACTATTTTTTTCCTTTCTTTAATCTTTAACACGAAACACCATTAATGCAGTATTAGCTTTTTTGGTTGTGAAATGCTCTGATTTCAATTCCTTTATAATTGCCGACGTCACCGTTGAAGAATGAATCGTCCCCTATTTAATAATTTTATTAATTATTCCTTTTAGACTTCATATACCAGACTCTTCTTTTCTTTTTTCTTTTTTGGCTCATAACTCCTGCAATGCAATCAGTAAACTTATGAGAAACTTCCGTTTCTAAATCAAATATGGCATTACACTCTAGGCAATAAAAAAAAATGTTCCCGTTTTGTTCAAATTTATGCTCTTTAACAGTCCTATAAGGTTCTGCAGCATAGCAGACTCTTAAGCAGTGAATGTTCTGGACAAACGAAATTCCGGAGTTTGAAGTGGATTATGCATATCTGAGGTTTTAGTCTGAAGTTGATTTCCAGAGTTTTAGTTATGAATCAATACATTTGCATCTTTGTTTATGAATATGATTATAAAACTGGTTTGACAGATCTGCAACAACTATAGGCTTGAACTGCATGCATGTATAAATACATGTAAAATCTATCAGGTACTTGTTTGTGCTTTCTCACTCTACTCTTTGCAATTTCTTTTCCATAGTTTTATTGACATATTTAACAGGCTTACTTTTGTGTCTTAGTTCTTTCCCATTGGCTTCCATGTTGTCTTATTTTCATCTATTTTGGTTCTCAAGCATGCTACCTACCAAAATAGCAACTAAATCATGTGAAATTCTGCACAATGCAATACAATACCTTCACCCTTTTTTCAGAACAGAGAATTGAACTTTTGCTTTTTCTTTATGAAGGCTATCTTCTTCTTGGATTCTTTCTTTGCAACCACTTTGCTTTGTATATTGATTACTTTTTCCACTAGTTTTCAAACTTTTAAGTGCTCTGTTTATGTTGAGGGAGAAAGTGCAGCTTAATTTTTGGTGACTAACCTCTCCTTTTTCCTCAGTTGGCTTTTCTTTTTTTCTTTTTCTTTTCGCTAAAGAAAGTGCACTTTGCTTTTCCAATTTAAAAAAAGTTGGTAGGGAAACCTTTTCTTTTTTTCCTTTATTTTTCATCAATGAAATTCCAAGTAATTAAACCCATGTATCGATTCTGTTACTGCTAACTCTGCACAGTAAGTACAAAACTTCAGTGTTAAGGATAGAAAAGCCATGATTAATCCATCTAAAAATGGGGGGAACTTTTCACAATCAGATTTTTGTTTTGCATAGTGGGTAAAGTATGTTTGGCTGTTGTTTATGTTCTTTTCTAGTGGGTAAAGTCAATACGCACACACGGTAAATTCATATTTGGTAGCCATAGTAATTTTCTCAACCAATAAGAGAAACAGTGTTGATGAATTTATTCTCTTTAGGTAATCATAAGAATCAGGACAGGGTAGCATGTTTCTTTGTGCATAATGGAATCTGTCTCAAGTTATGTGATCTTTACATGCCATGCCGAGTAGGTTTTTTTTATTTATTGCTTTCCTATTGGGTTGTATTTTATCTTCTTTATCATCTATGAACCTAAGAGAAATTTATCATACACAATATGAATATAGAACTTTAAAATGCCCTCTCTAGCACTACACTTTTCAAAGATAGCATGATCAATTCTCTGGAATTTCACCAACTCATACTTGAGTGGTTCTTTGCCACTCTTCTGAACAGAACATTATGACAGCATTTTCCTTTGAAAGGTAGTCAAATCTTCTCTGCTATCTGTATGCCACGTGCATGATTAACTAACTTTGTGTTCTGATTTTTTCTTATTGTACCAGGAGAAGAACAAGGACTCTCATAATTGAATCATTTTCATTCTGAGCAGATAACCATGAAGCTTCAGTTCTCCATTGCTGCACTTATCTTCCTTTTCCTTATCCGGCATTTCCCTTCCTCGGTTATTGCTGACCTGAATTCTGACAGACAAGCCCTCCTTAACTTTGCTGCCGCTGTCGGCCATACCCAAAAGCTCAACTGGAATGCTGCTGCACCAGTTTGTGCCTCTTGGGTAGGAATCACTTGCAATCTAAACAAAACTAGTGTCACTGCTATCCATCTTCCAGCTGTTGGACTCTTTGGCTCCATCCCAGCCAACAGTATAGGCAAGCTTGCTGCTCTTAGAGTCCTGAGCCTTCACTCCAATTTCCTCTATGGAAGTCTTCCTTCTGATATCCTATCCATTCCTTCTTTGGAGTATCTTTACCTCCAACACAATAACTTCTCTGGTGTGTTTCCTGCCTCTCTGTCCCACAACCTCATTTTGTTAGACTTCTCCTTTAACTCCTTTTCTGGAGACATTCCAACAACAGTTCAGAATCTGACACGCCTCACCGCATTGAGCCTCCAAAATAATTCCCTCTCTGGAGCCATACCTAATCTGAACCTCCCAAAGCTTAAGCTTTTGAATATGAGCTATAACAACTTCAATGGATCAATTCCATATTCCCTAAAAGGTTACCCGGATTCTTCATTTACTGGGAATCCTCAGTTATGTGGGGCACCTCTCAAAAATTGTTCCAAGACCTCCTCTTCACCTTCTGCTTCCCCTACTTACTTGCCACCCTCACCAACAGTCCAGAAAAATCACCATGCTACCCTCATAAAAAAACTTGGCCATGGTTATATTACTGCTGTGGCAATTGGGGGCTCTGCAGTGTTGGTTGTTTTAGTCCTGATGATTGTCATATGCTGTTCGAAAAGGACTAGCAAAGAAGGGCTGAAAGGGAAGGCCTCTGGTGATGGAAAGAGTGAGATGCCTAGAGATTTTGGGAGTGGAGTGCAAGAGGCAGAGAAGAACAAATTGTTCTTCTTTGATGGATGCTATTTCAACTTTGATCTTGAGGATCTACTGAGGGCATCGGCTGAAGTTCTTGGTAAAGGAAGTTATGGCACAACTTATAAAGCTGTTTTGGATGAGGAAACAACAGTTGTGGTGAAGAGGCTAAGGGAAGTTATTGTGGGTAAGAGGGAGTTTGAGCAGCATATGGAGGTGGTGGAGAGAGTTGGGAAGCACCCAAATGTTGTGCCTCCGCGCGCTTATTATTACTCCAAGGATGAGAAGCTTTTGGTCTACAACTACATGCCAGCAGGAAGCTTGTTTGCACACTTGCATGGTATGCCTAATCTAAATTCTAATGTCTAATTATAGTTACTTTAACTGGTTTTGCCAATTTTTTTTTCCTTCTGTTTCCATGCATTTACAGGAAGCAGGGATGCTGGAAGGTCTCCACTAGACTGGGATTCAAGAGTAAAGATTTCTCTTGAAGTAGCCAAGGGAATTGCCCACATTCATTCTGAGGGTGCTAAATGCAGCCATGGCAACATAAAGTCCACCAATGTCCTCCTAACCCAAGACCTTGAAGCTTGCATCACTGATGTTGGGTTGAGTCCTCTAATGAACTTCCCTGCAACCATGTCACGAGCCACAGGATATCGTGCTCCCGAGGCAACGGACATGCGGAAAATCTCTCATAAATCTGATGTTTACAGCTTCGGCGTGCTCCTCCTCGAAATGCTGACAGGCAAAACCACACTTCAATATCCAGGACATGACAGTGTGATTGATCTGCCAAGGTGGGTAAAGTCTGTCGTGCGCGAAGAATGGACAGCTGAGGTTTTTGATCTGGAGCTGCTAAGACAACAACACATTGAAGAAGAGATGGTGCAGATGCTTCAGATTGCACTGGCATGTGTATCAAAGTTTCCCGAGGCACGCCCCAGCATGGATGAAGTTGTTAGAATGATAGAGGAAATTCGGCAATCTGACACGAAAACTAGGCCATCCTCTGAGTCTGAGCTTGACGTGCAAACCCCGTGAAATCTTTAGCCTTCTGTTCTTCTCTATGCAATTGGGAAATAATGTTCAATGCTGTATTGTTTTCTGTATCACGATCTCCTGATTAACATTTTGCTTGCTAGTAGTAGCTTCTAAAGACCAACATTATTTTCAAACTTGCACCTGCATTTTCATTTCATATATTTTTCCCTTCAACATTGCGGTCCTGCCACGAATTTTGTTAAGGGTGACAGATTCAGCTGCTCGAAAAATCGGCCCCCAGGCGCTAGGCGGTGACTAGACGCTAGTCGGCTGCCTAGGCGGTGTGTAGGCTCTAGACGGGAGGATACCACCGCGATTTCACCCTAATCGTTAGGGGCGGGCGCCAGGGAGCTAGGCGGCGCATGGGCGCCGGCCTAGGGGCCTGGGCGGGTCGGGACTCGAGTGGCTGCTTCTCTGCTCTTCTCTACCCAACCAGTGGCAGCAACGGCTTCTTCTCTACTCGTCAGAGGTATCTTTGAATTTTTCTTCTTTTCTTAGCTACTGCTGGGCTCATCGTATTTCAAAGGCGCGCGCAAGAGGAGATGATAGAGGCAGAGTCAGAGGAGAGACGATGGAGATAGCGACCAGTGAGAGATGGGAGGTGATGGAGGCGGAGAGATTGAAACGCTGTGTTTCACTTATGGGCTGGTATTTTAACAAAGTTCTCTTATGGGCTTGGGCACATATACTAAAACAAAACCTAATTATGTTTCTATTTCAACACTCTGCTTTATATCAAACCATATATCATATGACTCACATATATACCTTTTTAAAAAAACTAATTTTGGTATAAATGTATAATTTATAATACAAAATAATTATTTATTAAAAAAAAACACCTAAGCACCCGCCTCGCGCCTACCTATCGCCTAACGATTTTTCGAACATTGATTAAGCATCAAATCTCAAATGCAAACAATATAATGATGTAAAGCCTCCATAAAATGGGAAAAGATTCAAACAAAACAAATAAAACATGATTTCATAACGCTCTTAAAAGTGAAGTTTAGGTTAAAATGTTTGACTAATTAGGGTCTAACCTAAAACCGATTGACTTGAAATTATGTCCAAATATTAAGACAACTAATTTTACCTACTCTGAGATAAACAACAACCATACAATTATCCGTTGGAAATTTGATCGTTGAGGCAAACATTTACAACTCATATTTCTGTTGGAAAACTTGAAATTGGCCAACAAAATTAACATTATTATTTATTTGTGTTTGGTCCAATATCTAATTCTTTTTGCGTTGTTAATTACACCTGCTTATATGGCAAGCCAGCCTGTGGTCGTTTCAACACTGATTTTCCCATTTTTCTTGGATTAACCTCCATAAATTTTTTATTTTTCTCATTTTACTTTCTTCCATCACCTTAATCCCAATTTCAAGGTTTTGTTCTTCTTCCTTGGTTGCGGATTGGGCTTTGATCGCCATGAAATCTTGCCAAAGGTACATCTTCTAATGGCGGTGTTTAGAAAACAGTTTCTGCATTTTTCTTCGTCGTATTTTGGGATTGGGATTTCTTTTTTATGTGATTATATAATTTGACAAAAGAATTCCACCATATCTCAAATTATTATGTATTGTTCATGAGATTAGGACCAATGCTAAGGGTTCCATATGAAACTCCTCCATATGCTAATAGTCTTTTCCTTGTAGATTTTCATGGAGGAGTTGGAGAAATTAATGAGGACCCTTTTTTTGGGGGGTTTTTTAATTCTTGTTATGCAAAATGTATATGCATTCTGAATCAAATACACACCAGAACTAGTCTCAGTAGTATATTTTGGTTGCCTGACAAGGATTTTTTGTTTTTGTTTTTGTTTGTTTTGTTTAGATGTTTCTGATAAATCTGTTCCCATTTTGCTGTGCACACTTAAATGGGAAGTTGCTGTTCTATGGTAAGTTTCACTGTACAAGGAGGACAATTCAGAAAAATGATAGTGTGCTTCCTCATTGGCCTCTAAGATCAATGACCTTTTGCTGCATCATCTGAGGAAATGCTTTGATTCTTGCAGTGCTCCGGACATAATAGCGACGAGGTTCATTTTGAGGGTTGTCTTGCCAGTGGAAATGTGCACCTTATAAAGACCATGGAAAGTTGGGAGGCAAAGTTATCAGAAGCAGTCAAGGATGGCAAGATTGTAAGTTTCTAGTGTTCTTTCCTGAATAAAGTGGGGAAAAAAAAATTATAAAGAATCCGGAAGAGAAACATCAGATGGAACTTTGAGCACCAATTTCATCATCTTTCTTATCATGAAGCCTTAGCCATAACATTCTCACATGTAGTCCTCCCTACAGTTTATTATAAAGAACCCCCAGCAAAACCTGCCAATATTTCGAAGTAACGTTTGAATTAACAAAATCATACGCTACATTAAAGCTATTTTTTGTCTAATTATTCTTCAGAAGGAACATTGTTCAAACTAGTATTGTTACCAAAGAAAACAAAAATCCTTGCTAAATCCAGCATGTCTAATTTTCTCTCATATGAATACGATGTTCTTTATCGAACTGTTGCAACAGGTTGTAGCAAATTTCAGTGCATCGTGGTGTAGACCTTGTATAATGATTGCACCAGCCTACTGTGAGCTTGCTGACAAGTATCCTTCTATCGTATTTCTAACCTTGGATGTCGATGATCTCGCTGTAAGTGAGAATTATTTCTTGTTTGTCACATAATCTGCGTACTAACAGAGAAGTATAGAAATGCAGATTCCAATGAAATTTTCGCTTCTCTTTATTCTGATCCATATAATGTAGCAATCGTTTGATGAATTATGCTTTTTTTTTTTTCTGGGGTGCAGGAGTTGAGTACTTCATGGGATATAAAGGCCACTCCAACATTTATTTTTCTTAAAGATGGAAGACAAGTGGACAAACTTGTTGGAAGCAACAAGACAGAGCTCCAGAAGAAGACAGCAGCTGTGGTTCATTTAGCAACCAAGTCTCATAGTTGACTCTTTTGTGATGATCATTTTCTTTTCTTTTTTTCTTTTTTTTGGTTGGGATATTAAGCTCATGAAAATCAATCTGGTCTCAACATGTAATCAAAATGATGTCCATGCCAACTGGTTATCAAATCATTGCATGGTCATATATCATCATATCAGATAATTTTGAGATCTTCTGTGCGACAGGTCCAGATACAGGAGCATTGGATTTCAAAGCAAAGACATCCGATAATTAGTATCTGTTTTAGGATAAAAGAAAACCAAAAGTTGGGAACTCCAAACAGAAGACAACTCTTGACACAGATTTTCCGACACACAGAGGCAACTCAGGTTAAAGTCAATATTAAACTCGATTTGCAGGCTACGGAAAATGATAAGATAATAGCATTCAGACAAAAGTCAACATTATGGAGAGAATTTGTAAGGAGCATGAAGAAACAACAATTTATACATACAATGATAAACATTTCTTGTGCGTCAAGATTGCTCGAACTATGCATCGGTTCAGCTTTGACAATTGTATGTATCCTCCTAGAAGGGAACTGGTGCATTGATCATAAACATCTAAGGCAGCATAGAAAATAAAAATCGACTTACAGCAAAAGACAGGAAGAGACAGAGATGGAGAGAAAACTTGTCCTTGTCCTTGTTCTTGTCCAGATATTAAACCCCTCTAGCTCTAGGAATTAACAAAACAGAGGATAAACCAATATCCAAACTGGCTTTCAGACAAGTTAGCCGTTAATCACAATGGGATTTTCTTGAAATTCTAGCGATGGTCATCTGTCAAAGTTTCAATCAAAACAGAGGAACATCCGCCCCCTTGGTCTTCTTAAATAATCGCTCATTTCCGTAGCAAACCCTTCTTGAGCTCCTTTCACTCAGTCTCGAAAAAAACACAACTCCAGCCATGGCAGATGGAAAACAATCCATCTTCTCATCTCTTGACAATGCCAAAACCCAACTCTACCACTACAAGGCAATTGTCATTGCTGGTATGGGGTTTTTCACTGATGCTTATGACCTTTTCTGCATCACCGCCGTCACGAAACTTATAGGGCGCCTTTACTACTATGACCCTTCTACGAACAGTCCTGGTACTCTGCCTAATCAGATCAACAATGCAATAACTGGGGTTGCTTTGTTTGGAACCCTAGCAGGGCAACTCTTCTTTGGCTGGCTTGGAGATAAACTTGGTAGGAAAAAAGTTTATGGTATCACCTTAGTCACTATGGTGGGCTGTGCTCTGGCCTCTGGCCTTTCCTTTGGCTCCTCTGCTCAAGGTGTTGTTACAACTCTCTGCTTCTTTCGCTTCTGGCTCGGATTTGGGATTGGAGGGGACTATCCCCTCTCAGCTGTCATCATGTCAGAATATTCCAGCCAAAAAACCAGAGGCGGGTTCGTTGCTGCTGTGTTTGCCATGCAAGGAATTGGCATATTGGTTGCAGGAGCCGTAGCCATGCTTGTGTCCAAGGTATTCTTGCAAGCTTTCCCAGCTGATAAGTTTAATGTCAATCAAGTGCTGTCCACTCAGCCAGAAGGCGATTTTGTTTGGAGGATTGTGCTCATGTTTGGTGCTGTCCCCGCTGCTCTGACCTTTTATTGGAGATCAAAAATGCCTGAAACTGCAAGGTACACTGCCTTGGTTGAAGGAGACCATGAGAAGGCTAAAGCAGATATGGCCAAAGTGCTTGAAAAAGACATTCCTGTTGCTGCTGTCAAAGGAGATTCTGATTCCAAGGTCCTAGTTGATCCTAATTCCTCATATGGGCTGTTTTCTAGGGAGTTTCTTAGGAGGCATGGCCTCCATCTTCTTGGCACCTCCAGCACCTGGTTCTTGTTAGACATTGCCTTCTACAGCCTACAGCTCACTCAGAAAGATGTTTACCCTGCAAGTGGGCTTTTACCAAAGGCATCAACAATGAATGCAATAGAAGAAGTGTACTTGCTCTCCAAAGCAATGCTGTTAATAGCACTTGCGGCAACAGTTCCTGGTTACTGGTTTACTGTCTTCCTCATTGACAAGATTGGAAGAAAGCCAATCCAGCTTGGAGGGTTTTTACTGATGTCAATTTTCATGGCAGTTCTTGGATATAAATATGGGGTACTTAGGGGAGAGAAGTGTAAGGACCCAAATTCCACCGTCGACTTCTGCCACGGTCGCACTAACTTGTTCACCCTTCTCTTTGGCCTGACCTTGTTTTTTGCAAACTTTGGACCCAACAGCACAACTTTCATTGTGCCGGCTGAGCTTTTCCCGGCAAGGTTCCGGTCCACGTGCCATGGTATATCAGCAGCAGCAGGAAAAGCAGGGGCTATACTTGCTGCATTTGTGCTGCAGAGTTACACTCATCAACTCAAAGGCATCCGGAAGGCAATCATAGCGCTTGCTGTGGTTAATTTGCTTGGTTTCTTCTTCACTTTCTTGGTGCCAGAAACAAAGGGCAGGTCGCTTGAGGAGATTTCTGGAGAGAACAATGATCTTGGAGGCAATGGGGTCACAGCGATTAGCAATTCAGATGACAAGGCAACAGAAGCTACCAATGTAGACAATGGCAAAGACAAAGTTGCAGAAGCTGAAATGCAAATGGTCTAGATGTTCTGATTTGATCTCATTTCAGGAAATTATGAGTGTGTTTTTGTGTTGTGTCTAATAAAATGTGTCTCCCCCATTGATGGGGTTTATAGTTACCATGTTAGAGCACATTTTTCTCCCACTCTGTCTTTTTGGAAAAATAAATAAATAAATTTCCCAAGTAATTACTTGTAATAAGGCCTGACCAACAGCAGCTGTGGAGTGCAGGGATGAAATAAAAGGTAATAATAAAGATGTGCTTACAATATCAAATGAAAAATAAATAAATGTGATTCTCTTCCTTTCTATTAATTAAACTTGTGCCATTATTTACAAAGTGAAAGTGTATCTTCAAGGGCACTTCTGTCATTTCGATCAAATTATTAATCTCCTCTACCATGGTTTCCTCATCACTTTTCCCCGATCAAATATTCAACAAAGTCACACAACAGTTGGCAGTGTGGCGCCTTGTCAAGTCATTTTCACACGGCTTTAGGTATGCTGCACATGCTGAAATTAGTACGTACTAGACAGTCCTAGCACAAAAAATATATTTATCTTCGAAAACGGAGTAGCGTATAATTTTGGTCTTTGTAGTTTAGGCAAAGAACCACTTTGAACTATGTAGTTTCAGTTATCGCAATTTTAATCCATGCGGTTTAGCATTCAAGCTTGTAGAGCAACAAGTATAGTTCTCAAATGTCTTGTCCCACTAATGAACATTTTGTATGTTCTTATTCCCTTGTTCTGTCATCAATGGTTACAAACAAAAAAAAAAAAAAAAAAAAAAACAAACAAACGCACCCGCATATGTGTCTCCTCGGCTTTCTAGCTACTATTAAGCCCACCATAAGCTGCTGCTTTTACAAGGAAGCCAAAAAGCAAAAATGGGGTGGAGAAGAAGGGACTGTGGTCACTGTCCAAAACATACACCTCAGATGGTGGCCACCTCTTTATCATCGAATCTTGTTGCTCTGGTTTTACGACATGATCATGCAACGTTCTCACGTAAACACGAGGCACTTTCTCAACCTCATCCTTCTCCTCAAAACGGGCTGTCGTTATTGCTAGGAGCGGTCCAGGCCTCAACAGCATGGCAGCTAGTGTCGAATCCTGAGAACACAAAGAGGCTTCTAATTAACATACATGAGTTATGCTATGATTAATTTTGTGATTATGTGAAATGCCCGTATGAGAGTTTGCTTTTAGCAAAATTCATGCATGAGTTATGCTATGGTTAATCGTTCACGCATGTTCGATTAACTTTTGTGATCATATAAAACCCTTGACCAAGAGATTAATCTTAGCAAAATCCTAACATGTATGTATATGAGATGTATATTCGCAAGTACATCAATGATGTGAAGGATTGAATGTGATGTGATGCACATATTGATGACCATCCAATTTGCTTCAACAGCAAAACAAAAGGACTATGCAAAAACAAAGTGCCAAGTGCCCACCAACCAACCATCAAAAACATAGGTACAGATACATTTAAAAGGCCGTGATCAAGGGTTTGTTTATATACCTCTTGAGGACTCATTTGGTATATGATTTTTCGTTGGAATTCTTTCTTGATCATGGCGCTTGTTGGAGGTTTATTGGATCCCAATCCAAACCCTAACTCATATATGTCACCAAATTCAGATAAATCAGGCACCCCCTGTTTCACATAAACATTATATAATAATTATAATCAGAAAAATAATTGGTCCCGTCTCAATCATTGGGGGCCAGATTGAAATGTATAGTAAAGTATATCATGCTGACAAAAAAATTGCCCAAATTATTGAAGATATGATTGCTTTCTGAAAAAATAAAAAATAAAAAACTGAAATTACTAACAAAATCTAATTAGTTTGCATTTGTAGTAATTTTGGATAATTAATGAGACTAAATAGTATAATTAATGTTTTCTTAAGAGATAATGCGAGGCCTAACAACTATTTTTGTCTGTGAAGACAGTTGGCAGCCATGAGCCATCTTTCTCTGCATTTCACACCATTGCCAGCATTGGGATCTTACTAACTGCAACAATCTTTACTAATTTCCAACCAATTCAAGCAGCCAAGCTGCCATGCATGGCTGCTCAAACTTATTTCCCATGTCAAATTTTCTAAGAACATGACGCAATTGAAACAAATCAGATTGAGATAAAAGGGATTAGAGAAAAACAGTAATTACATCTTTGATATCTTGATCAGTTGAGTAGCCAAGTTTCAGCATTGTTGCTGCAACATACACTGCTAATCTGATTTTCTTTGGAAACATGAGAGTGGCATGGGTTACACTGAGCCCTCCAGCGCTGTGCCCTACCAATATTACCTGCAAAACAAGTTACTTAAGTTGATAAAACAATCCCCTAATCCATGTTTCCAAATAATTAAACAAAGGGAAAGAAAATTAATCACCAAACCAAAGCAAGACCTGTTCATTTTCAGGCAGAGCAGACAACAAGTCCAGCAGTGGCTTGTTGTAATCGTCAAAAGAAAAGACTGAATTCGCATCGGATTGGTCGATCCCGGCGCTTTTAAGATCAACGCAAGAAACCTTGTAGCCTGAATTCTCCATGAGGCATCTGATTTTGTACCAACACCAAGCCCCTCCACTTATGCCATGAACCAGCACAAAGTGATCAGTCTTCAAGTTGAAGGTTACTTGTGGTACTTCCTTCAAATTGTTATTTAGCTCCTCTACCATGGTTTCCTGCTCTCCCTTTTCCAGCATCAATGCCCTGCTTCTCTTTCCCCACACCCTCTCCTCCAAGCCCTTTAGTTCTTTTTTTCTGCTTGCCCACTTCTCTCTCCCTCTCTCTCTCTCTCTATATATATACATGGCTAGTGGATTTGAAATACTTTAATTAACTTGCTGCTGCAGGCATGGGTTTTTGCTTTTGTTCTAATCCATGCGCTCATTCAAACATACATGTACCTATATACATATATGGATAAAAATCACTCTTCTTTTAGGCACTCGGATTTACCATTTACATTGCTAAAAGCATCACCAGTATGTCATATTTTTGGAGCAACCAAAATCACATACCACTTGGCAACCTATGGAGTCACTTTCACCACAGCTTTTCGTGTGCTGCACTCATATGCTAGACATGTTGAAGTAAATAATTAAGGGCAGCCGCCGTCCTAACAAAAAGATATCTTTGGAAATGGAGTTTTTGTCACTGAATAGGAGCAGCAACAAACATTTGTACCTCCATTACGGTTTAAAAATTATCTGTCGGTTATTTAAATTTTATTATTTTGCTAATCTGAAACACAAATTCTCTGTTATTTAATTCATGCGTTTCTGCTGGCCAACAATATCCTGGGACCTGGCTCAAAAAAAATTAAATTTATCTGGACTCAAATGTATCGATCGGCCAGTCGTTTTCCCCTCATGACTTTTTCTTCACATATAAAATGAAGCAAACAAACAGACACAGAGCTGTAGGAACTTTTTTCCATCTTTTCCCATCAGTCTTCTTGACCTGCACAAAGTTGTGGTGAAAAGGAAAACTTTTTTTTCCCAAGGTAAAAAAATAATTACCCTCTTGAGTGTATGGGCCTCCAGGAAGTTAGGAATTAAGGGAGTGAAAAGATTAGCTATAAAAAGGCTGAAAAGGCACGTCATGATTGAGCAATTACATTAGTGTCTTCAAAGATGCATTTCTCCTGAAAAAGATAAACGGAGCAGGTGGCAGTCATTGAGAAGTGAGCCTCTGGATGAATGATGTAAACATGTTTATAAATAAAGATGAGTAACTGCCAGCTCAGACATGCCAATTTGTACTTACAAAATACTTGATAAATTTGCTAGTTGAAAATAATGCTCAACCCAAGTGGAGGGGAAAGAAAGGACATGGGAAAAAAAGAGTCATGGAAGCAGGCAAAGCGGAGAGATTTTAGGTGAAGGGTAGCTTTCACATACACAAAGACTTTGGAAGTTTTAGAGGGAAAAGAAAAAGTCATTTGCTTCCACTTACACTTATTCCTCCTCTTAATAATAGAGTCTTGAATTTATATTATGATAGGAGTTTGGAGTGCTTTAACATCAGATAATTGCTGTTCGTTTAAGTTAATCAATCGCATATTACCCAAGTTGGCTAGAGCGAATGTGTTCCCTTTCTACACCCGAGTTCAAATCCCCCTCCTCGTAATTTAGAATAAATTAAAGTGTAGTGCTCGGAAGTATATGTCTTTGATTTGATATGCCAGTTAATTGTCTCTTCCAAATGAGAAACTGGCAAGCACTAAAACCCCAAAACCAAACGCATCATCCCTTTTTTTCTTATTTGCACTTGCTAGCTAGTTGGCTGAGAAGACCAGACCACTTCCATGATTGAATGGGAAAGCGAAAATGACATACTTACAGCCATTTGATGTTGACTTTAAATTTAACTGGGAACACGGTTTCCTGTGATATATATCATATATGTGACGGACCTTCTCCATTTTCTGAAGCAACAAGTTTTCCATCATTAACATTGGCCTCTTAAAAATTCCTGGAGGTGATTATTTGTTGAAGCAAGAGATTTGACTTTCCGTTACTAAATATTATCTCAACTTGAAAAAACTTCTTTGTATAAATTAAAGCAATTCAAAGTCAACACCATTTTAGTTTACTTTACAAGATTCTATATGTATAAACTTGATCCTCTACCATACGCATGTGTCTAAAATAAATGATTTATATATTGCCATTACCAAAGGCATAAACTAGATTCACTAACTGGGGGAGGAAGATGTGCAAGACTGATACGAACTAACGTTTATGTTGTTAGACTGTAAATATGAACTTAGGTAATAATTTGTATCGACAATCTTAAAAATCAATGTGATGCATAAATTTACACGAGCCAGCCAAATAGCTGAGTTTTTAGCTTAAATCACGATTTGGGTAACTATAAAATTTTTGTTTGGACATTTTAGCATGCATATTTTTTACTTTTTGATCATGTGGAACATGCATCTCTTAGAGGCACCTGCTGCATGCATATGCAAAAAGCCTGTCGTTCTTTTTCGCACACAAGGTTCTTGATTAAAAAAGAAAATGGTGTTGCAGAGTTTGCCCCAATTGTTATGCGGTTGTGGACTTGGAAGATAATATTATTGCCCCCACAAAATTAAAGTTCTCTTCCAGAAAGATAAGTGGTGAGTCCACGTTTGGTTGTCTCCATGAGTGCGTGCGTGACAATGCTCTGGGATTTCCACCTCTACCAGTTGCAATGTGGGAAATGATGCAAATTCTTGTTTGTGTACAATTTGGGTCTGAATTAAAGAAAATACTTGGGCGACATGGTGAATACTTTTCTAATAAATAGTATATTATATAAGGGATTTTTAAAGAAATATCCCCTAAACTTATTTTTACAGTTCTAATTTATCATCTTGAAAGAAAAAAAAAATGTCATTTTAATTTTTCAAAATTCATGATTTGTCATTTGACTTTAAATACCTCCAATTTTCCATCCATTTTAAGATTATTTTAGTCTTTCCATTTTCAAGGGGAAAAAAAAAGAGCAAAAAAAGAGACCTCTCTCCTTTTCTCCCCCACCCCAACCCCACTTGCCCCCAAAACACATCGCACAGGACCCCACCTTCTCTCTCTCCACAAATTTTCAATATGCAAATGGAAAAATACCAAAAAGAAAAAAGAATAAGAAAAATGTGGATTATGTTTGGGTGGGCTTAGGCAATTTGTGTGTGAATGGTAGGTGTTCCACGGTAGAGAGAGAAGGAGGAAGGGGATGTGAAGAGGGAAAGGGGAATGGATTTCAAAGTGGGCGGGGTTGGTCAGAGCCGTTGGTGGTGCATATGGGATAAGGGAAGGTGAGATATATTTTTTTTTATAATGATTTTTCCATTTTTAAAGTACTCTTGAAAATGGGAAGACTAAAATACTTTTTTAAATGGATGGAAAATTGGATGGTGTTAAAGTCAGATGACAAATCATGAATTTTGAAAAATTAAAGTGACATTTCTCTTTTAAAAAAAATTTAAGATGACAAATTGAAACTAAGGTATAATATTACACTTTAGGTCTGAATTATGGAAAATACTTGGGTACTATTGTCATACCAATTCGCGATGTTACTAGGTGATATGATTGATACTTTTCCAATCAATAGTATAGTATTAATGAAAAAATACATATGTTATATCATGGATGAATTGTAACACCACATAACAATGTCACAATCCTACAAAAGAGTTCTCTTAAATTAACCAAAACCAAGTTGTCATTACCAATTCATTCATATTATAATGCGTGTCTACATATAAATACTCACCAAACTGAAGAAAAAACATAGCTTAGCCAAAACAGCCCAAAAGTAAAAATTAAGGGCCCGTTTGGCAACCATTTTAGTTTTAAATTTTAAATTTTATTTTTCAAAAACTGAAAACTTGTTCGATAACTAATTTCAATTTTCAAAAAAAGTGAAAATTGAGCAAAAGTATTTGGTAATTGATTTTAGTTTTCAGTTTTATGTGAAACTTAGAAATGGAATTTTTGGGGGTAAAAATGTGAATTTGAGTTCATAGAATGAAAGTGCATGTTACAAAGAGTTCATAATAATTTTCGGTGAATTTTTTGAAATTATGATGATTTTTTTTCTTTTTGTTAATTTTGGATATGTAGTTCTTGAGGCTTAGATTGGGTCCGTGGCCAAACACAAGAATCGATCAGCCGGGTCTAAGTCAGGAGGTCCCAAATACTAATTTTTGGTAACTAGAGTGCATTTCATGTGTGGTGATATAAAATTAATAAATGCAATAGGAACGAAAAAAAATTGAAAAGAAAACTGAAAATTGAAAACAATTTATTTATTTATTTATTTATTTATAGATAAGGGTGATTTTAAAAACTAAAAATGAAATCTATTACCAAACATATTTTCAATTTTCAGAAAAATGAAATTGAAATGGTTATCATCAAACAAACCCTAACAAAATCTTTGTACGATTGATTGCATCAGATCATGAATGAGACCTGAAATGTCAATACTACACTCACTGTCTTCTTAATCTAGTAGGCTATAAAGGACATTGTGGTGGTGGGCCGATGTGGCCCGTGAGGAAAGTAATACATTAACCAAGCCCACATATTCTTTTTCTTGGTCAAACCAAGCTCGCATATTGAAACGGGCAATATTAGCTTCTTTATTTATTTTTGTTAGAGAAATTTGCATAAATATTATCTGAATTTAAGAACAGAGAAGTAGCAAACGGTTTCTTCTAGGGTTTTATGAAAATTCTTTAAGCGAGCTCTTACTGTTTTCTTTGCCAAACACAAATGGGGTTTTGGGGAGCTGAAGTGAAATACGAAAAGTCTTTCACTCGTATCTTTGAGAGGAATGCTAGCAAAAGATATATTGTCTAATACATTAATGTCATTGTCTTAAGTGTAGAGAAAATGACACATGTCATGAGGAGAAGGAAGAAGGCCCAAAAGCGAAGGTTGCTAGCATTCCCCTATTTGATTGATGACTTGAAAGGATGGCTTCACATTTCAGTGGCAACATTGGGGACTGGGACTGCAACGAAAAAAATAACAGATTAATTTAACTTAAATAATAATAAATAAAAAAGTCTCACAGTAAAACACGTTCTAACTCGAAAATCTCTGTTCTTCTTCCTCCCATTGTTGGCCGCCGCAGCACCTCATACTCTTTTTTATTTTTGTGTTTAAGTTAAATTAATATGTTATGCAGTAAAAGTAAAAGAAAATATATTTTAATTTATTTATTTTAATCCTTTGATTAGATCTAATCTAAATATAGGTGATCACAAGTCTCTTGGATGCCAGGAGTCTAAGAGGAACAGATGAAATTAAATAAAACATATGGGTCATATGTTTTGAATAAAGACTAATATAAAATTCCAAAAGAAATAGCTTGATAATAAAAATATTATGAAATAAAAGAAAATTAGAGTGGTATGAAATTAAAAAGAAAGATTTCAAAATCCTTAAGTTATAAATTCTTTTTATTTATTATAGAAATATACCACGAATTTAAATCTAGTTATCATACCCTGAAAAAATTAATCACATCTCCTAATAGGGTATATTAATATTATTTATTTTCTTATCTTGGATTGGAAATGTTTTCCCGCTAGAAATCTTGGTTGTTCCGCTGGCATGGCAGGCAGGACCGGCATGAGGCCGGTTCAGTCATGGGTCGTGGCCCCACCCCTGCGGCGCTTAATTATTGGGTATAAGTCGAAGTTACGAAAATACCCATTTCTGGAAATCAGTTCCACGAGGCAACAAAGGATTGAAAGCAAAGGGTGGGGCCGGTGGGTGGGAGGGCATTTTGGGGAGAGAGAAATTGAGAGAGAAAGGGCGGCAACAATTTTGAGCCATTTCCCTCTCAGCCTTTTTCTCGTTGTCCTGAACCAATCCCTTGAATCTATTTGAATTTTGAAAAAAGCTCGGGTTGCTTAAAATGCTCAAAAGCAATTAATGATTAATCACTTATCCATTTGATTTAGGGTTTGCGTTGGATCTGGAGGCTCTCTCTCACCTCATCTCACCTCACCTCACCTCACTTCACCTCACTCTGTCACAACACCAAAAGGTCAGTGAGCTCCGTCTTCTATGTTGCTCTTCACTTCTCCTTTATGCTTTTCTTTTTATAGAAATCGATTACATGCAGATTATGCTTTTCAAGACTCGCCTTTTGTTTTAATTTCTTGAATTTTCATGCTTGTGTATTTTTTTTGTTTGGTCTTCTCAAGAATTAGTAGAAGTATTTAGAAATTCTTAATTTTGGATCTGATTTATCATCTTTTTCCTGTCGGTGTAAGTCAAATTATATAAATTGATAATTGATCGTCATGTGATCATTATGTATTTCAATAAGAAATTGAACTAGCAATTCTTGATTTCTTCCGGGGAAAATTTCCCAAGACAATCGAATCGTGTTGCTATGTTATTGCTTTTGTTGTCACTTCCAAAGGACATGGGGTTTCTGTTCTTTTTCTTTTCTTATCCAATTTCACTTTAATTCCTTCTGTTATTATGGTTATCAAAACCACTAATTGTTTGGTTATTGATGCCATCGAGAGTCTGGTTCTCTAAGTGGTACTGTATTACAGAAACCCATTACTTTCCTTGTTTTATTTGAGGTCTTATGTTGTGTGGTTTATGTCATTTGATGTTAGTAGATGGTTGATATGGAGAGAACAGAAATGGAGAAGTCAGATTCATGTGGGCAGGACAATACTAATAATCCAGAAAGTTCTATATGGCTGGTAGAAAATCTTGAAGGTAAGTAAATAGCTATTTTCTTGCTTATCTTGTTTGTTGTACTTTGTCTTGCTGATTATTTGTACAGATTGTTTCAGACTCTAATCATTCTGTGATGGGTTGGCCTAATAAAATGTTCAAAATGTTGTTACTTACAGAGATGGACCAGAGCATTAAGCAAATGCTGAAGCTGATCAAAGAAGATGGTGATTCTTTGCCAAGAACTGTTGAACATTATAGTCAGGGGAAGCCAGAGTTGATTGAGGAATTTTACCGGATGTATCGATCACTGGCTGGGTGCTATGTTCACTTGACAAAAGAAGCACATAAGATTATGCCATCTGTGATTCCAGTGCAGGGATTCGGAGATTCTGAATCCGGTTTTGACCATGGCTCTCCTCTTATGACTCCTGATGCAAAGCTGAGTTTGCACAAATCCGCTCATCAAGTGGTTGATTTAGATATATCACCAAGCTCAGACGGTTCTAGCCCTGCTCTTTCTCTAAAGAATGGCACTGAATCATCTTCCTCATCATCGTCAGGATCCGAGTCAGAATCTATTAACTCCCCTGTCCGCAATTACTTGGTTCCACCTCTGAAAGTTGATTTCGACAGCCAGGGATGGCAGCAGAAGATTATTGAGCTAGAAACTGAACTTTCAAGCGTGAAAGAGAAGCTGCAGATGAGGGAGGCTGATCTTGAACTTGAGCAAACACAGGTATTGAAGCTGCAAAAACAGATAGCTGAGTTGGAGAGTCGTGAATCAGACAGAGAAAATGAGATTGCGAGATTGATTGCAGATTTGGAAGTAACTAAAGAAAGGCTTAAGGGGTCAGACGACGAGATTGTGAAGTTGAAGCATGAACTCACACATAGACTGTCTGAAGAGGCTCATCAAATGCAAGGTCAACTTCAGGTGGCTCAGGAAGATATAGCCATTTTGGAATCTCAACTTCACTCGGAGAGGAAGCATGTTTTGGAGTTGCAGGAGAATATTGTGAGGTACAATGCTGATATATTTGGCCGTGATCTTGAGGTGATGGAATTGAAGAGTGCATTGCATGATGCCCAGGAACAATTTTCTCTTGAGAAAGCAGACCTGCAAGCTGATATTTCAAGTTTGACAGAGAAGCAAACCATTTTGGACACAAGACTTGAAGAAGGGAGTTTGAGAAACAAGAACTTAGAAGATGAAATAAGGCGATGCGAAACTGATAAGATGGAAATGGAAAGGATGCATGTTGCCCAAGAGATGGCTTTGCAAGATGAAATAAGTGGGCTGAAGGTAGAAGTTGCTGAAAGAAATGGACATGTGGAAGCTGTGAATAAAGACTTTGACAGGTTTAAACTTAAGTATGACATGCTAATGGCAGAGAAAGATGAGCTCAATGCTAAGGTTCACACGGTTACAGCGAATCTGAGTTCCCGTGACAATCAAATCCAGGAAATGGAGGGGCATCTGCGCCGGTTGAATGCAGAACACGAGGATATGATTGCTGGATATGAAAGTGCACGTAGACTAGTAGATGAATTGAAATTGAGAGTGGAGGAGTTGCAGAAAGAGGTGGATAGTCAGAGAGTTGCGATCTCAGATGGGGCTGAGCAGAAACGAGAGGCGATACGACAGCTTTGCTTCTCACTGGAGCACTATAGGAGTGGATACAAAGAACTTCGTCAAGCATTTCTTGGGCACGGGAGGCAAGCAGTTGCAGCTGCATAAAATCAGTTTCTTCTTCTATTAAAATGTTGTCAAAGTATGTTTTCTGAGTCTCACTTTGTCTCTTGCATGATGTGTTTGTGTTTCTTATGTTTGAACTTTTGTTCCAACTCTGAGAGACTATTAGACATTATTGTATCTTGTTTAGGGTCATGGTATGTACAATTTTATATACATATTCGGATTTGAAATAGCTTTGCTAATTAGGTGATAAACTAAGTCGTCTGCCTAGAGGGATAAATGGGAACCTCTCTCTCCGTGTCAGTTGTTGAGCTGCAGCTATACACATTCAGCTAAAGCTTCATTCATTGCAGTTACTATAATTATTCATTTACGCCTTTTTTTTTCCTCTCTTCCTGCATTTAGAATTGACAAGGTCATGCCTATGTGATGCTTATTACTTGAAAAACTCAGTGGCGGGTAGTTGAGGGATTCTTGATACCCACACAACCCAAAACTTTGTGTGCAATATTGCTTCATACTACAATTTACGCAAGCATGCCCTTTGTCCGCTTGACCTTTTACTTAATTAGCGAGCTCCTAAGCTATGAGGACATTTCAATGATTATGTCTACCGCGAGCCTCTATTAAATAATTGGAAAAAAAAGGGGTAAAAGTTAGAGATCTCATAGGCCAATGCCAATAGGCCATAGAATAGAATTGTCTTTGGAATTTTGAATGCTTTATAAAAGAGAAAGTTAAAAAGAATGTTGTTAATATTCCCCGTATCAAATAAAGAAAAAAACTAAAGTAATGAGTAACCCAGAAGTGGCTGAGGAATTTGGTATCACGATCACATGTGATGGACTTGGGACGCCATGTAACTTCACCACTCCCTGAAAAACAGTTTGGTGATACTAAATGCATCAGACGTCTTCCTACAAGCTATAAAATGCGCTATTCTCTTTAAAGTAAATTTAGGTTTTAGTCAAAAAAAAATTTTCACTTTTGGAAAAAGCCAAAGCTTTTTCAAAAAAGATAGAAAAATCTCTCAACTTTCAAATCAAAGACATGCAAATGTAAAGGATTCCTTAGGAAATCCAAAAATAAATAAGGGCAATTTTGTCCATTTTGGCTTCTTTTACAAAATTTCTCTCTCCTTTGTGTTTTTCCAAAATCTCCCATTTTTTAAAACATGTCAACAACAACGTCTTCATACACGATTAATAATGTTGACACTTTTTTGGTTATTAACAAATTTCAAGGCTTGACAATCAGTATAAAGTTTAAGCTCTCGCTGCACAAGGTAGTGTTCCCACTGTTTCAAAGCCCTCACAATGCATAAAATTCATGATCATATGCGCTCAATTTCTGGTGGGCTTCAGTGAGTTTTTCAGAGAAAAATACTAAGGTTTTTTAGGTTTTAGACATAAAAAAAATTTCACTTTTGGAAAAAGCCAAAGCTTTTTCAAAAAAGACAAAAAAACCGCTCAACTTTCAAATTAAAGACATGCAAATGTATTGGATTCCTTAGGAAATCTAAAAATAAATAAGGGCATTTTTGTCCATTTTTGCTTCTTTTAAAATTTTTCTCTCTCCTTTTGCTTTTTCCAAAATGTCCCGTTCCTCTAGAAACCCTAATCTCCAACACTAATCCCCCTTGCCAAGAGGATGAGAACATCCAATATCTTAATTGGAGAGGATTCAAATTATTTTACTTCCAAGAATTCAAGAGATAATTTTCTTTTTTGAAGCTGATGATTATTGAAGTAGTATGAAGTAATTCTACAAAGGTAGAGAACATGTTGTAATGTTCATATTCACCCGATCAAGGTGATTCTCAAGAGCAATTTAAAATTTAGTAATGTTTTTATGCAATGAAAATACCACAACTAGAGAAGAAAAAAGAAACAGGGAAACTAGCTAATTAAGCAAGAGAAAGTGATGCCACCACATGAAAGAATTGTATTTGCTCTAGTAGCTCTTTGGCTTGTCTTGTGCCTTTTTTTTCAACTCTTGAAAACAACTCATTGCCAAGCTTGTCACCGATGTGTGCATCGACGAGCACTCCGGCGACACTCCTACAACTATTTGCAAGGGCTTGACCGACTTCAGCTGCATCATCAGGTCGGCTTACTACAAGGGGGCTTCCTCCTTTGAAAATCTCAAGCTTGTTTATGATGAATGAGCCATCAGCTTCCACTACTTCTTTGAAGTCTTGTAAGCTTGAGGCGTACATAGGAATGTTGAAACTGTCACGTTTCTCGCTGGTGATAAGACCCTGTGGAAATTTATAAGTTATGAGTTATATTAATCTATGTCAAAAGTAGTAATAGGTTAGCATAATCTAAAGCTAAATATTTGTTTTACTAAATTTATCATTGCCGATCGCACATTTCTTATAAAATAGAGATCTTCAATCCGATAGGTTGTATATGCTCTCATAGTTCATAACAAAAAATAATACACTAATTAGATCTAATATTTAATAAACGTGGTACGTGAAACATTACTCATATAAATATAAAAACTCAAAATCAAACTCAAATATTATGCATTATAATATAATTAATGTTTTCATTTGTATGATATTATTTATTGATTACCTCTTGGACAAGATCATCCCAAGCATCCTGAAAGTGGGTCCCAAAGAGAAGGCCTGGGCCACTTTGGTCAGTGGGGTCCACTGAGGTCCTACCCAAACAGACAAGAAACATGGAGCCACCTTTCTTGAGCTCCTTGCCTCTTAACTTGAGAAAGCTTCCCAAGTCTGTCTGGAACTGCTTCTTGTATGCATCGGCTGTGCTCTCCTTTGCTCCATGAATGAACACCTTTCCTTTGTTGTAGGCTGCTGACCTCTTGTCTACCACACTCTCTGGCACCTGGGTGGGTCCCACCCAAGACATAAAAATATATATTACTAATAATGAACAACATCATCCGTGGCAAGATAATTAATTATAAATAGCTATTGAAAATTATGGAGAAATGAATTACCTGTGAGAGCCAATGCAAGGAAAACGCGGAGTGAAAAAGGTCAATGCACCTCGACGGGAAAAGCTGCCGGTAAAAGGAGCCAGGGACCCCGGCTGCGAAGTAGGAGCGGTGGCTGTCGGCGGCGAGGGTCTCCTCCATGCTACCGCCGTGGTTGGCCATAGGAGGGAGGAGTTGGAAGAGGGTGTTGAAGTCATTGCTAGGGAGATCAGAGAAAAAGGCTGAGAACTCAGGTGCGTCATATCCCGAGGCCTCATAGCGCTTGGCCATGTGCTTGATGATCACATCTATGGTGTTGATGGTGTTGCTTCCACTTGAGCATCCAAGATCCGCAACCACAAAGGGAACTTCTGGAGAGCTCAGCTGCAATTTGTCTAGGGTTTCTTTAAGCAGGTGAAGCATGGATCTTGCATGCATGGCCTGAAAAATGAAGGACACAACACAATAATTAAGCAAATTGAACAAGAGAATGAGAAAATCTTGAATAATGGAGTAATTAATTATACCTGCGCTTTGGAATTGTTGGCATAGCTGGAGTCTCCTTTGCCTCCTTTCATGCAAAATATCTTCTCCAGCTTTTTACTTGAAACTAAAACATTGTCTCCCTTTGGAGCCATGAATGAATCAATTAATAAGAAATATTTCTGAAAACTGCATTTTGGAATAAATTATGCTATACTGCATTTTGGACTGGCATTTTGATTTTGTTCCCTAATTATGTGCACCAAGTTGGCACAACTTTCCCGTAGATTATATTAATTTATATTTTAACGAAACAAAATTGAGATTTAGAAGACAAGGAGTACAAAAATCTAACCTGGGCTTCGGAATTGTTGGCATCTTCTTTGACTCCATCCAAGCTCTCAACCTCCACATCAGAAACAACCACTTTCTGTCCATCTGAAGCAATATATATTTATCTTAGATTCTATGGTTCTAGGGAAAAAATGATGCTAATTGTTCAAATCATATACAGTGAGAGGTATCGTATTTGTATATGTGCAATATTATATGGCTATTGGGACCTAAAATGAGTACCAAACAAGACAAAATAAGAACTTTTAGAACAAATTACGTAAACCACTCACGTTGATAACGAGAATCCTTAAAAAAATTGTTAAGCCAACCCTTCCACAAATCTCCACCAATATTAAGGAGAAACATTTCTAACACAACAAACACTCTCTTCAACATTATCTCTATTTTTATTATTCTCTTTGTTTCTCACTTCTCATGTCTAGAAAGTATGAAGGTATGCTACTATTTAACATGGTATAGTGATAGGATAAACTTCAATCCTTAAGGACATAAGGCTATGTTTGGTAACTAGGATTGGATTGGATTGGAAAACTCACTATATGTAACGCATGTGTGAAGGATGAAAATGATGAAATTTTGTCCAAGTTGAAGGTACATAGAACATGGATTACTCATGAAGGAAACTTATTATCCCATGCAATCCCCACAAAATAGTAGGATATTAACACATTATAAGTTACTCGTTTTAATCCCCCTAAAATGAAAAATACTTCATTTTAGGATTGGATTGGATTGGAAACCCACTATATGTAAGGCATGTTGAAGGAGGAAATGATGAAATATTGTCCAAGTTGAAGATAGGCGATGGATTACTCATGAAGAAAACTTATCTCATGAAATCCCCACAAAATAATTGGATATCAACACCTTGTAGGTTATTTTCTTCTAATCTCCATAAAATAAAAAATACTTCACATCTACCTTCATTTCCTCCAACATACCTTAAATTTAATGATTATCCAATCCAATCCAATCAAATCCTAACAACCAATTGAACTAGGTAAATGAATATCTTTTTTTTTTTTTTTTTTTTTTTTTTTGGTAGGTATAATTTACCTAGAGGCATACATACCTAAAACATATAGGTAGATTTATTTCTCACAAAAACATAAGGATCAAGAATTATAGGGAGCAAAAACGTTTTCTTGCCCTTTGAACAAATTAATTTCCAACCATAAAGATTATTATTTCTTTGATACGAACCATAAAGATGATGAAATATGAAGATTTGATATAAAGAAAAGGAAAAATGTTGACCCATCAATTTGAAATTTAACGATTAATGATCAAGTCAGAAATGCTCACTTGAGCACCTCTTTTTGGGGACTTGTGAGTGACAACTCACTGCAGCTATTGGATTCATCCTATCTCTAATCTTCTTTTTGGATCTTCTCCTTTTCCATCATGACATGTGTTACTTTCTTTATTCAAACAAGCTAGTTTTTGTTTTCCAAATATACCATAATTTAATGTATTGGCTTTTATGTTTCCTTCGATTTATTCAAATTTTTTTACAACTTTGTTACCTCATTGTTAAAAAATTAAATAAGAAAACCCTATAGCAACTCTTGATATCTTCAAGAGAAAATTTCCCAAGACAGTCGAGTTGTGTTGCATGCATGGTCTAAAATATTGATGATATTGGAAATATCGATAGTCTAAAAACATGGAAATTTCGAGGGAAATATCGGGATATTATCGATATCGATAAAAATTGAATAAAAACCAAGGAAATTGTAAGAAAAACTTGAAATTTTTTATTGAAACTTTGGAGAATGTTTATTTAGTCAATTATCTATTAGTTTATAAAAAAAATTAGAAGGAAATGCATTACATGATGGATTTAACTGATTTAAATTGATTATACAGCGAGCTGGCAAACACTGTGAGTATATAAAATATGTAGTAATTAATGAAAAAAAGATTAAACACACCATAATCATTTATATATAATGATTTACTACAATATTTTACACTTTATACATTGCATGATAAGATACATGAGTGACTTAGTACTACATAGAGTTCCTATGAGGTTCAAATTTTTCACTATCTTCATCATCTCTATGTGTAGAGTAAGTGTACTGTGAAGAGTATTCATCAAATGATAAATCCTCAAAATAGTTTTGCATGTAATTGTTAACATGCCACCTATATAAATATAAATATTTTAGCATATTATCACTAAAACGTAAGTGATATATGGTGGTTAAGGTGTTGGAGGTTAATTGTTAACATGCCTCCCTTTTCCTCCCTTTCTCCCCCCCCCCATTTTTTTTTTCTTCTTCTTTTTCTTCTTTTTCCTTTTTTTCCCCCATATATGGTGGTTAAGGTGTTGGACGTAAGTGATATGTCGTGATTCGAAAAAAACTGAAATATTCTCGATATTTCGTCGATATTATCGATATTTTAGACTATGGTTGCATGGTATTGCTAATATCATTTCCCAAAATAGTTTAAGTATGTTTTCTGAGGCTCACTTTGTCTTTCTTGCATGATGTGTTTGTGTTTCTTATGTTTGAAGTTTTGTTCCATCTTTTTCATAAGTTTCCCGAATTGGAATTATTGTTATTATTCATTTACGCTTTCTTTTTTCTCCCGCAATTAGATTTGACTTGGTCATGCCTACCTATGCGATGCTTATAATTATTATGTAAATTGATTGCATGTAAAACTCAGTGGCGGGCATTTGAGGGTTTCTTGTATCACACAACACAACCCAAAGAAAAAAATGTTTATAGTAATACACATTTGTATTTGTATGCAAGATTACTTAATTTGTGAGCTCCTAAGCTAAATGTAAAAGCAAGTCCCATATGTTTAGTTTATTATTATTATTATTTTTTAATACAAACGATATTGGAGGGAGGAATTGAATCCAAGATCTCGTTGTAGAGATAAATGCTCGAACTTAATACCTCAGTGCAGATAGAGCAATTAATCACTTGCGCTGCGAGCTCTTTAAACTTGTTTTGCTTGTTTGTTTGCTATTACTAGTCGATATTAAAAAGGAAAAAAAAACATGACGACAGTTGAATGATAATGTCTAGCGTGAGCTTCTATAAAATAATTGGAAAAAAAGAAAAGAAGAGGGAGGTAAAAGTTAGAGATCTCATAAGCCAATGCAAATGCCAATGGTAGGGCATAGAATAGAATCGTCATTGGAATTTTGAATGCAATTTCTGTGAAGACCATAATTTGTGAATTACCAAGAAGGACGACAAGACATACACAAAGCAGAAACTCGGGAAGAGAGAAAGAAAAAAGAGAAAAGGGCAAAACGAGGAAGATACCAAGTTTGACCAGAGCTGAAATGTCAGTAATGTCCCTGAACCCAATATTGATTTGCGTCGTCATTGGATTGGATTGGAAGAAAGAAAGAAAGAAAATCAAAGCGTTGTGAATGGGAATGGGATGCCCAGGTTCCAAGCGGGAGCGGCTGATGTCGTTTTCTCGGCGGCAGCACGAGGGAGGGAAAATTAGCCTAATTATTCTTTTTTAATTATTTTGTTTTGCCCGCAAAGTCAAAAATTGGACCCACCCAAAAAACATACCTACTCTGAGTAGCATTATAAAAATGCGTACCACCTAGCACACTGAATGCCACGTGTCAGTGACAGCTAAGTAGTGCCCCACACCCCCATACAATTCCAAGGTTGACTTTGAAGCTTTCTGTTGAGTTTCTATATTAGCATGTGGGACTTTTTTAATTGTGAAATTTACCTTTGATTTCCCAGAAAAAGACCCAGAATAATAGGAGGAGAGAGGAGGCTCCATTTGAGAAATACTTCCATAATTTTGTTTTATTGTACCTTTTTTTCTTTCTCTCATTTTTAAATAGGTTAAATGACGAGAGATATAGAGAGGAGTCTCCCACTCGAAAAATATTTCCATATTCTCGTTTCATTTTTTAATATGTGACATACGGAGACATATGTACATAGAAGGAGGCTCCCACTTGAAAAATACTTTCATATTCCGGTTTTATTACCCTTTTCTTTTTATCGTTCTCAACCTTTGATTGGTTACTTAAGGAGAGAGATAGAAATAAGATGGTAATAAAGGGGATAAGAATGGTTGACTTGACTTTGGAATATTGGAAAATGGATCAAAGACCAAAGATAACGGTCGTGGTGGAGAGAGGGAAGGATAGTGGTTGGTCTTTTCTGGCCAAACAAAATGCGAATACACTAAACAGGGAAAGGCGAGAGCTTTTTGTTGCCTTCATTAATTGATTTGAATTTTGACGAGTTAGTAATAAGATGACACGTCGACACTGACTCTTTAAATAAGGTCGGCGGCGATATCACATAACTCCCTCTCTCTCTCTCTCTCTCTCTCTCTCTCTCTCTCCTCTCTCCGGTCTTCAGCTTCCCGTGTTTCTCACGGTCAACAGTGGTTTGACCAGGAAGCTTCTTCACCACGAAAAAGAAGAAGACCAATTCTCAATCGTCCTCATTCCTCCCCTGTTTGAAAAAAAAGACTAAAGCTTTAACTACAAGAGCAGACATGGGAGCTGCTCATTTTCAGACTTTGACGCTTTGAGCTTGGTAAACACCAAAGACAAGATTTTGTTTTTTTGCAATATTTTCTCTTTTCCACATTTTGCCAAACACCTCCCTTTGCCTTCTTCACCCAAAAACAACCCAAACTCTTCTTTTTTAAAATAAAACAAATTCATTTCCTCTTCTGTCTATCTCTCTTTTTTGGATCTCTCTCTGTGTTTACTTCTTATTATATTCACTACAGTTCAAAAGGTACTGCTTCCTTAATTTGCTCGAATTGTGATTCAGAATTTCATGTTTGTCTTTTTAATTTCTTAGCTTGTGGCTTGTTAGATATACCCTTTACTTTCACGGATCTAAAAAACCCATTCTTTTTAGAGATTTAGCATTTGTTCTGATGCATGCCATGTTCATCTTTTGTTTATGTTTACATTGCAGATGATGTTTCAGCCTCATGGTTTCTCAACAAGGACAAATTAATCGTCATGCTTGAATCTGTTTGTTAAGTTTGGGACTTTTGTGCTGGAAGCCCAAGTTTTTGTTTCTTGTTTTTGGGACAAACTATGGCGCCTGAATTGACCACTAAAGTTCGATTGGTTAAATGTCCTAAATGCCGGCGGCTTCTTCCAGAGTTGCCAGAATTTCAGGTCTACAAATGTGGTGGATGTGGTGCCACTCTCCAAGGTAAACAAATCATCATCTCATTAATCTAGCTATCTTCTTAATTTGTTGTTTGATTCATTTCAGCATACGGATTCTCTAGCATGTTGATAAAGATCTTTCTGTGGCCAAAAATTAAAGAAGATTTCGTAAATATTTGTCATTACTTTCTCAAATTATAACAGATTAAAAGACTTAATTTGTGTTCTTGGATTGCTTAAAATGTTTAACATAAGACATTGAATTAGCATGTTACCGCAATTGCATCGACCCTTTACTAGTTACTAGGTACTATAGATTCAACATTCTGAGTACTTTTTTCTTTCTTTTGTAAACCAACATTCTTCTGAGTAATTGAGCTCCCTCTTTTTCATCTGCCTTTTTATTGATAATAACTTTCACATCTTGCTACTAAGTTTTTGAATTCATTATTGGTATTATTTTTCTAAATTCTCCTCCTGAATGCAGCAAAAAGTCGAACAAATGGAACGAGAAGCAGGAGCTCTAGCTTGAATAAGACTATGGCAGCTCAGAAGATTGGACTGGATCACGTTTCTGGAGATAGAGAATCCAACAGTTCAAGTCGCAATGCAACTCTTTCTGACTCGGGAGAATGCTCTTCAGACCACAACAATGAGAGGGATCAGAGTAAGTTTTTAGAGCGCTACGAATCTAGCAGCGACAGTGATAAGCTTACTTTTCCCAACTTGGGAGAATGCGTTTCTGACCGAAACAATGAGAAGAATGAAGATAAGTATTCTGAGGATAAGGAATCTAGCAGCTCAAGTCATAATGTAACTCTTCCAGACTCAGAAGAATGTTCTTCAGAGCAAAAAAATGAGAGTGATAAGAGAAAATCTTCAGAAGGCGATGAATCTAGCAGTGAAAGTTCTCCCAAGGCTACTTTTCTTGACTTGGGAGAATACTTTCCGGACCAAAACAAGGAGAAGAGTACAGATACATCTTCCGAAGGCAAAGAATCTAGCAGCTCAAGTCATAATGCAAGTATTTCGGACTCAGGAGAATGCTCTTCAGACCAAAGCAATGACAGGGATCAGAGTATATCTTCAGAAAGCAATAAATCTAGCAGCTCGAGTCCTAAGGCTAATTTTCCCGACTCAGGAGAATGCTTTTTGGACCAAAACAATGAGAAGAGTGAAGATAAGTCTTCCGAAAACAAAGAACCTAGCTCAAGTCATAATGCGTGTCTTTCAGACTCAGGAGAATGCTTTTCAGACCAAAACAATGAGAGGAATCAGAGCAAATCTTCAGAAGGCAATGAATCTGGCAGCTCAAGTCCTAAGGCTAATTTTCCTGACTCAGGAGAATCTTTTTCAGACCAAAAAAATGAGAGAGATCAGAGGAAGTCTTCAGAGGGCAATGTATTTGGCAGATTAAGTCCAAAGGCTACTTTCCCTGACTCGGCAGAATGCTTCTCAGAGCAAAACAATGAGAAGAGTGAAGATAAGTCTTCGGAAGACAAAGAATTTGGCAGCTCAAGTCATAATGCTGTTCTTCCAGACACAGGAGAATGGACCTCAAATCCAACCAATGGGAGGTATCCTGATACGTCTTCTGAAAACCGTGATCATAAGCAGCTCGGAGATGCAAACTTACCAAACGAAGAACACAACAATCAGAGTGATCTAAATGATTCTCGTGATTTTGATAGTCAGCAACATCAACTTGAAGTTTCCAATGAAATCTGTTCATCAACTGAGCATGCTCATAATGAAGTTAAGGAGTCATTACCAATAACACAAGCAGGTTCAGCAGTATCAATGAATGATGAGAGTTTAGCTTTATCAGAAAAAAATGTGGAAATAGGCATCAACAAAGATATTGACTCTGCTGTCAGGAGCTCAACTACTGTCAATCCAGAGGCTACAAGGGGAAGTAGTTCAATAGTTACTGTGCATATGCCTGCAAGGGAAATCGTATCATCAGATTCCCTTAGATCTTCTCCTAATAAACAACTGGAGGAACCTCAGAATCGTGTTCCGAATGGCTTTGATCATGTAAGGTCTCCTGATACATTTGAAAATACAGAGTTCAACCCCAGCTCTGAGTTTAGTGGTGCACCTAGAGATATGTCAAAGTCCCCAGCACATAGAAGCCATCATGCTTATGATGGCAGTGTTTCTTCTTATGATGGCGTGGATGACCAATTCTTCAACCGAAATATACATTCAAACTTTTTCCGTTCTGAAGAAAGACCCAGAAGGGATAAATTCCTGGCGAAAAACATGATGAATAGAGATTCAGGATTTCAACCTCAAGCAAGGGATTCCTGGTCAAGTTTTTCGGATAAGAACAATCGTGCCATGAAAAACAGAAAGTGGGATGATGATGAATTACTGCAGCCTAGAAGACAAGGCCATCCAAGTCGAGAGTGGAACAGATTACAGACTGATGAATATATGTCTAGGGTGCCTTTCCCTAGAAGACTTTCCCAAGGTGGATATGCAAAAGGAGGCCCTATAACTCAATTTCATGATGAGTACCAACGCAACTCAGGCTATCAATCATCTGAGCAGTCCGTGGGAGCTGAACAGGACAAGATGACACTGTTGAGAATGGTCTATGAACTGCAGGATCAAGTTAACAATTTGAATGGGAAGGCAAGTGGAAGGGTTGCCGGAGGAGCCACTTGGAAGGAAAATCATATTCCGCGTATTCCGCGGCACAGCAGTTATGAGGCATCTCAGGAGGAACTCTTTCATGACCAAAACTATCAAAGGTATCTAAGAAGACACAGGGCAGGAAGCCACTATCCGCCCCAGCACCGCAAATTTATGCATGTACCTTACTCCAGTGAGGCAACAACTAGCAGACACCAAGTTGATCCCTCCTATTTGCATCGTGGTCCCCAAGACTGGCAGTGCTCAGCACCATTGCCTCTTCCTGTTCGCTGCAACAACAATGGGTTATGCAGGGTCCACCCTGACCACAGTTGCTGGACATCCTTTGATAAGTCTAGTGCCTCAAGTCCCGAACGGTATGTGGAACCTGACTTGCCCCTTTGGGGCCGTGAAACAAGGTCTGATGATCTGAGGCACACAAGGCATGATGTGAATAAGTTTTTTAGGGAGAAACATCATTTGGCTAAGCGACATTTCCGCCCCATAGCAGGTGGAGCCCCTATCATAACTTGTTATAACTGCCTAAAACCGCTGCAGATACCTGCAGATTTTCTCCTTTTCAAAAGGAGATGCCATAAACTTAGATGTGGTGCTTGTTCAGAGGTGCTTAAGTTTTCCCTCCTAAAGAGATCTCATATTGTCCCATATGAACAGAATGCTATAGCCCCTCCACCAAGCGAGGTTGGAGACTATAATTCCGCTGCTAATGGGAGTAACTTGGCTTCAGCACCCCAACCATTTGATTCTCAAGATGCGGATCCTGTGTCATGTTCTGATGATTATGGTTATGGGCTCTCTTACAGGGCCAGTTACTCTACTGATGGTGATCCTGGAACTTTGGCACCCTCTAACTCTCTCCGAGGTAATTCAGATGACAGAAACATGTCACATACTTCATTGGTTCCAAAGCGTGAGACAAAGGAGCTTGGTTTGAAAGAGTCTCAGAACAAAGGTAAGTATCCAATGGAAACATTTGTGTCAGCAAGACCGTCCTTATCCTCAGAAATTGAGGAGGTGCCACCAAAGTCAACTTCACCACTTCATCGACTCATGGGTTACTCTTCGCCAAGCCAAGTAATGAGAGGCTCTCGATCATCTCTCACAGGGACAAGCTCATACTCAAAGCAGAGATAACAGATATTTATCAGAATATGCACCTGTCAAGCAGTGAATGATAATGTTGAAACTCCTGAGGGATTTGCTCAAATGCAAGACCTTACTTGGTAGCCTTACTAGACCCGAAGCATCGAGAAGTAGGAGAAAGCGAATAGAGCCCCAGTCAAAACATAGATTTCTGGGAAATTATTCAATGACAGACATTAGCTTGTTTTGCCATATCTACATGTTAGGGACTTATAATTTTTTTTCGAAAGGACTTTTCCTTTCTTTCCAGTTTTTCTGTGTATTCTGTCCTAGGACTTGTATGATTTCCCCTGAGTGAGTATATGTTAGATGTAGAAATCAAGTTTTCTATTGTTTTGTATGTATAGAAGTTTACCAGAGGTTCCTATTTGATTTGATTGTGTATTTATAGCTCATTCTGTGCAATGATAATTCAAACTTTTTTCTACATTTGTTTTTTTGTTTGCTTCTAGTAGCACTTCAAAGAGAAGAGAAGAACTGATATACTAAAGTATATCATGTCTGAAAGTTACAGTTTCTATTTTTTGGTTATAATAACTTACAGTTCAATTATCAGTTCTAAACCAACATGTTCTTCCCTTGTATCACGTTGTGCTTGTGGGTATTGATGACTAACCTTGTTCCTATTTCCAATCCATTTTCCATCCTAGAAATTTTTATTAAATGAAATTCCAGAGGACGCATAAAAATTGGATGAGGTTATCAGCCCAGCAGAGCATGCTAAATAAGTAATTGGATCCTCCCAACTGAGCAATATTTAAGAAATTTGATAGAAAGGTAAATTAATAACAAGAAGTCTATATTGGTAAACACCAGTCACTACTTGGTGAAGAAAATCATTGTAAGATATGATGATGACCAATCCCATACCTAAAACTGCATATGCTTTGCTTTCCTAAAGTATAGAGTACATCTTTTTCCTGCTCTCGATATTGTTCTTATGTAATCCTCAATACAGGAGTACTTTTATTTATATTTACACAAACTTCAGGAAGCTACATCTGCACTTCTAGGTTCACCTGAAATTGTCCCTGTAGTTGCTTCTTCGATTTGAAGCAATAGAAATCCTTTGGTCCTGGAGCATATTTAAGTTTGGGGCCAACAAACGGGTGTACCGATCAAAATACAAAAGCTGCTTCAGGAGTAGTGCAAACTCTCGAGGAAATTTCAATCCATATGATTCACTAACCTGAATCTGAAATAAGAACATGCAAGCAACATAACATGAGTAGTAATTACATGGGCAGACAATTTCCCTCTTTAAGTGTTGTATTAAACGTTACTGTGTCACTAACCATCTACATCCTGTTTTCTTACCTAGAGATAAATTTGATAATTTCAAGAACATTAATTTGTTGCAGATAATATATTGTTTATTGCATAATTTGTTGCAGGCATGTACACCTAAAGGCAGTCAACAGCTTACCACATCAAGAAAAAGTGCATTCATTTGTCTCTCATCAACAACCAGATTAGCAGAAACAGCAGTTGCATTTGTAGCCGGCTCCCTGGCTGTTGCTATGACTACTTCTGTATCCAAATCCTGTATTGAAGGGATTGTTAGATGCAATGGGACTGTTTTTGCTTCTTCTTTTTTCTTTGAGGGACTATGTTATTGTCATCACTAAGCTGGTATCACATTCAATATTAGCTAGTGACTATGCCACTTCAGATCTATATTCTAAATCCAGCAATCTTCTAGCTATGGCACACCTCTTTCAGTTGGCATTCTTTCTAGCAAATATATTTAAGGGCAAAAAAGGGTATCAGGGTGTACCCTTCTGCTAAACATGATCCTTAGCTCCCGTAACTAGTCCCAGGACAAGGACAATGATTAACAATATTATTTTGGAAAGCAAAACACAATTAGGGCAAAACCTAAATTTAATGCTTGCCTTTATTGATGAGAACATCTTTTCCAAGTCCCTTGCAAAGGCCTTAGAATCAACATTTGTGTCTGTAGCACCCATTTCAACCAACGCAGATGCCATTGATTCATATTCTTCAGTTGCGATTGATCCCAGAAAGACTTCCATGGCAGCCCATGTTTTTGGGGATATACGACCAACAATTCCTGTAAAGTTAAGTCAAATGCAAGAATGATTTCACATAACTGCAAGGTAAAAAATTAACAATCTTAAAAATATATCAATAACATTTTGAAGGGTTTGACAAATAGACAGAATTCTATAACTTTCCAAGAGAAGGTACTGCAACTAGGGACTGTTAGGGAACAAACATTAGGCAAGTCGACTTGATATAGACATCTAGTCCTTTTCTTCTGCCAAGAATATAAACATTAAGTGCTATGTGCAGAAATTTCATGTACGATGTAAAAAACACTGAACCATTGAAAAAAAAAGCTGATGACAATGGCATCTACAAATGAATGGGTACACTTGGTCCATGAAGATTACGCATACCAAAATCAAGAAACCCAATACGGCCATCACGCAACAACCACAAATTTCCTGCATGTACATCTGCATGGAAGCTTTCACAGCCAAGCAAACTGCCAAACCTGCAGAAATATTTAATACCAAGAGACAAGATCAAAACATTGACACATGATTAAACACAAAATTTCAAGCACACGAATTGTGGATAGAATATTTAAGTCTTACCACACATTAAGGGCAGTTATGAGACTGGTCTCTGGACTAGAAACAAATGAACTTATAGTGTCTAGGTCAGTAAGAGGAACTCCATATAGCCTCTCCATTGTTAAAACTCGTTTGGTGCTGCATTGATGATACACTTTTGGAGCTGTAGCCTGCCTTGTGAGTCCCATGGCTTCTAAATATCTTCTGAAGGACTCAATGTTTGCAGCCTCCTTGTAGAAATCAACTTCTTCAAGCATGGATTCCCGTATGTCTTTCACAATACCAACCTACTGAAAGGATGAACAGATTACAATGGAAACTTCTTATGAAATTAATTAGCACACTTGTATTTGTCATCCAAAATAAGAATTAAAGTCATTTTTTGCAAATGTCTAAATTTCTGTTCACAATACCAATGAAGCACGGCTTATATCGGGACTCAAGAACTCCAAAATGCGGGCAACAATGTACACAAAATTCAGATCTGCAACCAACATATCTTCTATTCCGGGTTTCAAGATCTTTATAACCACATCTTCTTGGGAGCCTCTTAGCCTTGCACCATGAACCTAGTCATACAATATCACAATTCTTATTACTAAGCTTAAAAAATGGATTGAGGAAAATGTGACAATAGAAAGGAAGAGAAAAAAACTTGTGCTATTGAGGCCGAAGCAAGTGGAGTTGGATCAACATATTCAAAAACGCTTTCTATTGGTTTCCCCAATTCCTGACGCAAAATTGCTTGAATCTCCACGAAGGGTACTGCAGGAGTTCTGTCAAAGCAGTTCTGAAATTCCTCTACATATTCTGATGGGAACAATGTTGGTGCAGATGCAACGAACTACCATATGCAAGTAAGTTATCATTAGTGATTGTGCACGTCGCATGAAGAAAGAGAGTAAAGGAAAGAAACAAGACAAGATAATCGTTGAATAATCTACATTGGATATACGGAATAAACTTATGGAGTGGCCATAGTCATGATACTTTGCATAAAAAAGGTGTACATAATACCCATTTGGAACCCAAGACTTGTTTATTGGTAATCATGGATGCTATTTGCATGCCATCAAAAAACAAGACTTACCTGACCCAACTTAATATAGGTTGCCCCCATGCGCTCAAACAATCTCCTCAAATAAAGGGGGGATAGCAATCCAAGCTGCACTTGGGTTGGTAATCCAGCAGATGAGTTTGATGACTACAAACAGAAGGTAGGGTCACTTAGGAGCATAGTCTTCAGATAAAAAGGTCAGTCATGTCAACTCAAATGGATATTAAATTAACCAATGCCTAGCTATTAACAGAGTACTCAACAAAGCGAAGTCTTAATCCTAATTTATTGGAATTGGCTATATAATTTCATTTTGTCATTCTATAGGAAATAACTTAGACTGCATAAAGATAGTATCACAATAAAAATTGAAGTTCCTGTTACCTTTGAAATGTCAGCAAGCCACTCCCCACCTACCCCAATAAACGCTTGAATACCTTGGGCCATTCTAAGGGCGCCGCGTGGACCTGTACTTATTGATGTTTGGACAATGTCCTCGACCAGTTTAGGCAAGTCTTGGATACTATCTGATAACAACAAGAACTTCTAGCTTCAGCTCAAAGTATTAAATCAATAGAGTGATCAGGAAAACAAAGAATTCAAACTTGAACAATGCAGAGTAGAATGTTCATGCCAAGGTCTAAACTGAATTCAGAAAAGTGCAATAGCAGGTCTGAGAAAAAACCCGTGAATCAAAATTTCCTTATTTTCCTGAGAATATTACTGTCTGCCAAGCAAAAGAGTTTTACTTCTGGTCCAACAGTTCCTATAGCTAGGTTTCACATCCCTTACTTTAACGGAAAAGGCAACCGCTAATGGCTCAATTAAAAGAAGTGAAAAAAGGAGCATCATTTCTCGAGGTACCCATTAAACGAAACACCAAGAAATTGTTATAGAAGTACGAAAGAGTTTCAAAACTTGTTTCTTCATGATTTAACATATCAATATGAGCACAACATAACCATAGTAGAAGTTTGAAATCCTGTATAATCTACTATTCATGTTCATGTGGGTGTGTTTGGTATTGAAAGACAAACAAAAAAACCAAATAAAGATTAAGATTGAGCTAAACCAAAGAACCCAAAATTTAAACACGAAATCCAAAAGTGAAATGGAGAGAGAAATAAAGTACCTTGGAAGCGAGAGGAGAAAAGATCCTGAGTTTGTGAGTAGCGGGCCAAGAGAGTGAAGCCCTTTGAGTTGGAGAGGCAATTGAGCTGCTTCCATGGTCTTAACGAACCCCAACTACCAGTAATTGATGATGAGGATGATGAGCTCAGAATCATTTGACGGCGATGATGGTGATGTAATGATGGTAAGCGACCGCCTCTCACAGCTGAGACCATGGCCACAGCCATCTCTTCACTCGCAAAACGAAAGAAAAAATATCAAAATCTTTGAAAATGAATTCAGGGCTGGGAATTTGGAAACTTTGGTTGCTCTTCCTTCTTTAAATCAATTTTATTGTCACCTTCAACGACTGCGTTGCGACAATTGCTCTACTGTCAGTTTGTGAATGTCTGCTAATTGCTCTCACTCTCGAATCTCTCTCTCTGTGTATAATCTCCGAAAAAGAAAGAAAATATATATGTTTTGTAATTTTGTGCAACGTTACACAAGTAGTAAGTGAAAGGGAAGATGCCACGTGGCTAGGCAGTTCACTACTGGCGCAATTCTTATGAAGACTTGTTTGTTGTCCTCTTTCCTTCCTCCCTGAGGAGAATCATTTGTGCAGAATCCCGGCCAATCACGCTATACCATCATGGTATTACCTGCTTGATAACTTTTTCACTTGGATTGCCCCCTTTCATGTAAGTTTTTCTGCTGCTGAAAGATTTCTTTGCAAAACTTCAATTTCTATTTTTGGTCAAACCACCAACTTCAACTTTTAAACATCTTCTGCATAAAATGTCCGGCCAAAGAAGAGAATCGGCTCTGTGCAATCTTTGAATTTACGACATAAAAATAAATAAACTGCACTTCTAGACTTTGAATGACAAATCTTTCCATGTCGAGGGCTCTGCATAAACGTTTAAACATTACAAATAAATGGATTGGTTAATGTTCCTGCGCTAGTAATAGCGTGTTTGTATTTCAGTACATGATTACATATAGAGTCAATCCAACAAAAATTCTGTCCAAAAATTCCGGACACTAGTTTGACATTGTTATCCTCACTTCATTTCATCTTCTTCAGCATACATCTTCTGCAGAACTATCCAAGAACCAGTTGCGGAACCTAAGTCTGATTCTGAATTATGAATCTGTATCTGAATCAGAATTTGATTCTGTGTCCGATTTCCAATCAACTGGTTTCATCCTGTTCGTGTTGGCTTCGAGTGGAGGAAGTCCATCATCATCACTTGAGTCAAGCTCATTCTCTTCTTGTTGGGAGGTGTCTCCCTGCAGACTTGCATTGCATCCATCTGAAACTGTGGATTTGAAGATTTCTGGCCTGCATAAAAAGACCAGCAAAAAACAAAAGACAAACATGGAGAATCAAAAGAAGATGAGGTGGAGGAGATGCATGCAAGTGCCCGTCTCTTAGCAAACACTTAACACATTAGAGAAAATGTGCCACAAGGCTGCAGGATTTTACACTACACTTCCATGAGCTACCTTTTTCCATCCTTCAGTAGGATTATGTGCTAGGCATGGATACTACGGTGGTGGCTTGTTGGATGGCTATTACAAAAAACAATTTTGACAGTTTCAACTTTATTAAGTTGTAACATAATGCTGCAACAGCAGACCTTCACACTTATGAAGGAAGCCAGAGTGAAAATTGAGGGAGTTTTCAAAGTCTGGTAACCAAAACACAAAGGAACATCACATGCTTATGCAAGCGGTGTTTCAGAGAGGGGCGGCATATAGTGAGATAGTGGCAAATCATTTTAAGATGGGAAGAGAATACACACCACTCTGGTGATTTCTTAAGCACACGAACTTGCTCGTAAAATAGAACCCGCGAAACAATGCATCCCACCTTGCTGCCAGATTCAAGAACCTTCTCCTTTCCACTTGCATCAACAACAACAAAACTCCCTGCATACAAAATGAACGCAAAAACAATGTCTTTACTTTTGGGTACATTTACTAGAATTTCTTGAACTTGGTTGAGTTTACAGGGAACAGAGTCAACAACAGACCTCGTTTTATCCACATGCTCTTTTGAAATTTAGCTGGAAACAGTGCCAAAGATTTTTCTCCTTGTCCATCCATGATCTTCAATGAGTAGAGCAGAATCAAAGGTAAGCAATAAGCACATTGTGCAGTACAAATTTAAATAATTTTCTTTACTACCACAACTTCACTCTAAGAATTATCCCAACCCAACCACATCCCTTTATGATTTTGAATGAAGTCCGAGGGCATAGGTGAACGAGCCAAGCCAACCCAATAAGCTTATAGCCACCCACTAGTGCTTTTTCATAAACCCTGGTAGTTTACTACAAAGCAGAAGCTGGATTTCAAACAAATATAGCTTGGAGGGTTAAAGACTGGAACTTTACTACAACCAAATCATTTATTGAAGAAAGATATTGAATTTGAACAGGGTTTTAGAAGGGTTTTCCTCCACTGGAAATAAAATAAAATAAAATAAATAAATAAATAGGTTTAGCTGATTGAGTTGAGTGAACAGAAGAGCACCTCAATGAGATTGGAACCACGGAGAGAAAGCACTTGCATTATAGAGTGACCATCTTTGAGGGTCAAGCTCTCTTCCTCCACTGCCCTCTTCAGATTCTTCCTTCCCCCTTTCATCGAGATTGAAATTGTTTTTGGGAATGTTTCTCAAACGCCGTCGTTCCAATCAAAAAACCAATATTTGGCGAGTTAAAGCCTCCAAGGCTGAAGAAAATAAGAAGAAAATTTAGATTGGAAGAGAGGAAAGGAGGCTTGGGGGGGTTGCCGCCGCTGAGGTGGTTGTGGTGGAGAGGTTGCAGAGAAGAAGATGAACAACAAGGAAACCTGCTTTTAATAAAACAATTAAGTGAGGGGACAGGTGTCAGAAGGATAAGGAGGGGACAGGGAGGACACATTTAAAATGGGCACAGGAGAATTTAACTCATATTTACCGCGCTAGAATAACTGAATTTGACAACTGGCTGTAACTCAAGGTAAAATAACGGGCCAATAAAAATGCTAGAAACTGAAGAAATTTACGGAAGATGTCGTTGACCTGCGACTGTGACGTTAGCCAAGCTCTTGTCACAACAAGCACAGGAAAAGTCTAAAACAAATTTGCGCCTTGGCGACTCGCAACTCGCAACTCGCGCGTGAGTTCAGACCCGGGAGGAGGGAGACCGTGCCCGGCCCGGCTCTTGATTTTTAGCAAGCTCACACAAACAGCGCAATTTTAAGGTTCAAATCCTTAAAATCTCTTTATTTGTTTCGAGTATTTTCCATGGTTCATTTGAATTCGTACGTTGTTGCCTTTTGTTTTTCTACTTTTACTTAATTGTATCCTTATTCTATCATAGTCCCTCACATTGCTTTGCTCCAGTCCAGTGCTCATCTTCTGATTATCAAGTTTTAAATTTCATTCTCTTGTATGACAATTCTGTGACTTTCCCAGTTACCATGTAAGTGCTTCTTATTATTCCCACGAAAGAGCCCTTCTTTTTCGTTTGTGAAGTTATGTTTCTTCTTTCTTTTCAGTTTCTTTCTGGGAAACCATTTGAGCCAAAATTATGATTACAAGTGAATGCTAAGGAAAGCAAATATCTTGTTAGTTTTTTATTTTTTGGTGTTTAGAGTTAAAAATTATAATTGTGAAATTAAATCTGTGCGTGCTTCTATTACCATCTTCAACCTGAAGCTACTCATTAATTTGCATTTTTGGAGTACATGACTATAGGGGGTGCCTTTGAATCCACAGTGTATCAATTGGGTTTTTTTGCTTAGAGTGATGGGTAGAAGGAAGCAAAGCCGGCCGAACCGATCCGGTGGGGTAATATTAAAGAGTCACAGTAATGCTGATCAGGCAGAAGTTGCTGAAGATAAGCTTTCAACCGAGGAATCACGAAAGAATGATCTGGATAAAGTTGAGAAACCATATTTTGTGGAAGTTGTTCGGTCTTGTTGGATTTCAGATGAGCACCTTGATATTGCTGAAGTTGTTTTAACAGATATGAATTGGGGAGATGAGTTTTCTGGTGATGGATTTGGTGAGGATTTTAATCAGGATAGTTACTCCTTAAGGTTTCGAGTGTGCAACATAAATGAGCATATCAGTCGTATAAAGTGTGGTGGTCATTGGCCTGTGTTATCCTCTGCTGATATATCTTTGGAATTCATTAAAAAATGTCCAACGGAGAATATGGAAAGGTTATCTGTGATTTTATCAGGGAGTTTTGATGGACCGGATGAAGGTATCTCTGGGCTTGTTCACTTGGCAAGTTTGAAGTTTATGACACTGAGGCCAGCTCGGTGGGTTGGGTTTGCGGATGATATTTCAACCATCAGGGTTAGGGTGGAGATACTTAAGAGTGCATTTGATGCTTGTGAGTCACTGCTGGACACTAATACTAGGCAACTCTGGAAAAAGAGTATGTTGAATGTCATGGCTTGGCTTCATCCAGAAGTAATGACTTCAGAGGCTAGGTACGGAGTCAGTAAATCAACAGAAATGGAAGCTGATTTGCATACTCAGACTGGAGAGGCTAATTCAGGACCTGGTAATCGTGCAAGGTTTGATGTTGCTGGGTTCTATGAAGCCATTAAACCATCAAAGTGAGTATCACCACTCTTCAATGTCATAGTCTATTTCCAACTTTAAAGTTTTATGTCTATTTATCTTTGAGTTTAATCTCCATTGCATCTTGTGTACAGAGCAGATGCAATGCTTCAAGATGACTTGCCGGATTTGCTTCCTGAATTGAAGCCATATCAGCGCCGTGCAGCTTACTGGATGGTACGGAGAGAGAAAGGAGATGCAGAAAGTCTGGCCGAAGAAGAGAAAAGTCAGTTCATATCACCTTTATGTTTGCCCTTGGAATTTCTTGATACAAGTTCAAAAATTTTCTATAACCCATTCAGGTACTGACTTTCTCACACATGTTGGTTTACCTTTGAAGCGAGTTCTTTCATTCTGGCATACTCTCTCTCTCTCTCTCTCTCTCTCTCTCTCCTCTCCCTTATCTAAAGCTTACTGCAAATTTGAAAATGTATTTCAGTGGAAGTGTTTCGTTGCATCCACAGAATTCGTCAGCTTACGTCTTTGGTGGTATTCTTGCAGGTAATCCCACTGCTCTACGTTCTCTTGCATGTATCCATATGTTTTCTTGGAGACAGTCTGAAATTTGTTAGATTTTTCAGATATTGAATTTCAGTGTGGTCTGAAACCTGATCTTTA